ACCAACACACACACACACCACACACACACACAGCCTAACGTCGCTTTATCAGTACAATAATCTTGAACGCGACGTTAAACCCATTTCAGCTCACTGATGATGACGAGGTTTCGATCTCATCACTAGGACGACGTTATAATTAGTGTTTGCTCTTTTGTGTTCATTTTTACCCATTATCTAACACAACTCCAATCTGATGACTTCGACCTGTAAATATTCGAGTCTGTAGCAGACAATACAGTGACTGTTATTATTAGCAACGATCCACACTACCCGGGTACTATCAACCGAGTCACCGACCCTGACTACCGAGATATGAAGTCGCCTCCTACCACCCAGATAGATCGTTGGGGACCACAGGTTAGTTATATATAAGTATAGGACTACATATGAACATGGCGACTGTTGTCCATACCAGTATAAGTGTTAGATTCTCATTCCCGCCAGGGTTTTTTTTCTGACGCAAATTTTCCTAAGATATGAAAAGTGAAGGTTGTGCGAGAATTGCGCTCACGCGGCACTGGATCTACGTCCGGCTATAAAATAACGCAGAGATGTAGAATATTAAATTTCCTATCTTGTGGTGTATATTTAACAGCAAATTGTAAACCGGTTTCATAAAAAAGATACTGCAAAGTCTTGTCCGAGAAATAAGTCTGTGTTGAAGAACAAGAAATTTATCCGCTTTTTATCGTTACCGATATAAGTACTGTGCGACGATTATTTTATTTAGCCACTTTGCGGAAACTTTGAGCGAACAAAATACTGCCCAATATCTGAAAGACAAAAATATATATCAAATGGATTACGACTGAGAGGTTACACGCGTCCTAAGAAAATGGGGCATAACTCTCCCCCCCCCCCCCCCTCCCCCCCGACACACACACACACACACACACACATACACACACATTGGAGACATACCTGATTACTAATTAAGTAAAAATGTACGTGACATTTTATTGGTGAAGAATATCCCAACGTGATACCTGAGAACATATCATAAAAGATGTAGACAATGTAGACAAAATACCACGGGTCATTTCAACTGAGAGTCTTGCAAATAATGCATAGTTGAGATGTTTTAGCATGTGGGTTTCGCTTTAAAAAAAACTCATTTGACGAACATAGGACTCAGTATCAGATTTTAACAATCTAAATGTTGTTTGTCTGTTAAGTCTTTTATGTACGAGCTATCGAAAACTGAGACCCTTGTAACGGAGGCGGCTTCATTATTACCGGAGCGGCTGGGTAGCCTAGTGGTTGAAGCGTTCGCTCGTTCCCGCCGAAGACCCGGGTTCGATTCCCGACAGATTCATTCACTCATCATTATTACCGAGCATGTCAAACGAGAGAATCCTGGTAGAGTTACAATAGCGGTTAGTTTGCAAGCAACCCTCTTTGTGAACATTCAAGTGTTTTGTTAATGCCCTATCTCTATGTACTTCTCAGAGATATAAACTATTTTCTGTTGACATTGTTGACGCTTTCACCAGCATTTATCATGGTGTGGGAGGGGCGGTGGGGCACGTAGTGGTTAATGCGTTCGCTCGTCACGCCAAGGGCCGGGGTTGGATTCCCTTCATGGGTACAACGTGTGAAGCCCATTTCTGGTGTCGAGCTGTGAGCGAACAAAATACTGCCCAATATCTGAAAGACATAAATATATAAAAATGGTGTTATATGTGTATGTATAACGACAAAAATTCAATGCAAAACAAAAGTCTGCCGTAAATGCCGAAAAGTGATTTTCCTCTATGACGTCTAGAGACGACTGAGAGGTTACACGCGTCCAAAGAACTGGCATAACTCCCCCCCCCCCCCCCCCCCCGAGACACACACACACACACACACACACACACACACACACACACACACACACACCAAAATCTAATCGCCTGTCAGCACTAATTATCTGTTGGCTTCCCTTGTTAGTTTCTACCCTTTGTGATCTTCTTACTCTTGTTGTCCTTACACGTACATATATATGCCCTCTGCCTCATAGCATTCATTCATCTGATGCAGGATTAAGCATATACCTCCGAAACGTTGTGTTCCTCATAATATAGATTTCAAATCCATTCTTCCTTATGCGTATCACTTCTTAAATATTCATCACAGAAGTTGTATGTCAGTGCCCAAGCAGGTATATCAGTGCATATATATCAGTGCATATATATCAGTGCATATATATCAGTGCAGATGTCTTTCGTCGCCTCTCGCCCCTTACCGTAACCTGCAGGACGATTCGTCCCCCTATCGATGAGTGAGTGAGTGAGTTGGGTTTAACGCCGCTTTTAACATTATTCCAGTTATATCACGGCGTGTCAGCTTAATGTGGAAGGAAAGCCCGAAGTGATGCAGGTCTAAGACGTTCACCACTTCGGTGAAACCCACGAGCAAGGGTATGGTGCTGACAAACCTAGAAACATAATCGGGGCGAACAGGGATTCGAACCCACAACCATAGGTTTGTGTCGTGCCCTTGGGACGCAACTCTGCACAGCGAATCGCGGCGCCTTAGACGACTGGGCCACACGTGCGCCCCCCCCCCCCCCCCCCCCCCCCCCCCTAAATACTGTATAATTCCGCATGTCCAGATGTTCTTTAAATTGCAAGTGATATATATATATAATATATGAGGAAATACATGTGGCCACAAGAGGGGCACGAGTCGCTATTCGGCTTGTCCCGGAATAACACGAGTTGGTCAATTTGCCAGGCTCATAACGACCACCTAGTACTGCACACTTGAGAGAATGGCGAGTAAGTCAGACCTGAATTTACACCAAACGTCAAAAGGGACCAAGAACGTCATGTCTTTACTGTATGTTTGCACCGAAGAGATTCAGTTATGTTCGAACAGTGTTTACAGTAGCCCTGTGTCGACAACAACGCCGCACACACCTCACTGAGGTCACAACACTAAATCGTATTGCAAAGAAATATTTGCTTCTCTCGTTTACAAAACTAGAAAAGAATGTCTTGTACTTCAGGTTTTGTCCACAACGATCAATAGTTCAGTATTTCCCATGACATACCTGGTTAAATTCCGTTTACTGTGTCAGTGCTTGTGTAGCTATCAACAATAAACCTCAAATAGCCACTGAATGAGCCCATGGAACGATTATTAAGGGTAAACACACAACGCCCGGCGTGGAGTGACACGCACCATCACCCCGGACCTGTCCGGTGGCCTACTCTCTCGTTCTCCTTGCTCCGTCCGGGCCTACTCTCTCGTTCTCCTTTCTCCGTCCGGGCCTACTTTCTCGTTCTCCTTGCTCCGTCCGGGCCTACTCTCTCGTTCTCCTTGCTCCGTCCGGGCCTACTCTCTCGTTCTCCTTGCTCCGTCCAGGCCTACTCTCTCGTTCTCCTTGCTCCGTCTGGGCCTACTCTCTCGTTCTCTATCAAATAGTGGTGACACTCTAACAAATAGTCGTGATACTCTATCAAATAGTAATGGTACTCCGTCAAATAGTGATGGTATTCCGTCAAATAGTCGTGATACTCTATCAAATAGTGATGGCACTCCGTCAAATAGTGATGGTATTCCGTCAAATAGGGATGGTAGTCCGTCAAATAGTCGTGATAGTCTATCAAAAAGTGATGGCACTCCGTCAAATAGTGATGGTACTCCGTCAAATAGTGATGGCACTCCGTCAAATAGTGATGGTATTCCGTCAAATAGTGATGGTACTCCGTCAAATAGTGATGGTACTCCGTCAAATAGTGATGGTACTCCGTCAAATAGTGATGGTACTCCGTCAAATAGTGATGGTATTCCGTCAAATAGTGATGGTACTCTGTCAAATAGTGATGGTACTCCGTCAAATAGTGATGGTATTCCGTCAAATAGTGATGGTACTCCGTCAAATAGTGATTGTACTCCGTCAAATAGTGATGGTACTCCGTCAAATAGTGATGGTATTCCGTCAAATAGTGATGGTACTCCGTCAAATAGTGATGGCACTCCGTCAAATAGTGATGATGCTGGGATATGGGCCTCATCTTTAGCCAAACGGAACACAAAATATACAAATAGACACAGAAAGGGTTTTGAGTGTTATTCAAACGCAAAATGAGAAATATGAATACGACAACAGTCACCCCCGACAATGAGGATAGAATCAACCGATCCATGGCCTGCTCTGTTGTAGCAAGCTCGCCGAAGGAATCGGCCGCGCTTCATGTATTTCCACCGTGAATGGTTAACGCCGCTTTGAACGTCATTCCAGTGAAGTCACGGCGAGTCAGCTTCATGTGGTGGCAAAGCCCGAAGTGATGCTCGTCAGGCAATAAACACCTACTTCTTATGCAAATTGTTTGAATGGCGGGTGCTACCGGTAAGGCAGGACATGTTTACCCTTTTTGCAAACAAGGTGTCATTACTGATTTTCAGTGGTCAATTCATATAATTTCCACAGCTATTTGCCCTTAACGATAAGTGGAATCTGTTCATGCAGAACATCTAGGCTGGTTGTTCTCCTGCATTGACAATTGGTATCTGAGATGTATACCAGTTTAGTGACGCCGAGCACGGGTATGGTTCTGACAAAACAAGGATCTCATATATATGGCAATTTAAGACAGGGCAACCTGTTGCCCTGGCCCTCTCCACCCCCCCCCCCCCCCACTCCACACCCCCCCCCACCCCACCCCCCACCCCCCCACCCCCCTGTTGGCTGTGCTCCCACTTGACTCCGAGGGGAAGGGCTTGCCAGCTTACCAACCTCCCACGCACTGGCCGTGTGTGACATATTACTGTGAGACCTGCAGAGTGCCACGTTCAACGTCTCCACCCTCCACCCGAGCGGTAATAGTGTTCGTGTTCACTCTCTATTATGTTGCTGTTGTTGTGGGGTAGCCCAGTGGTAGTTAATTATACAAAGTGTTACTCGTCGTTCCATCAGAATGAAGTATGGGTTTAAATCCCTTCGTGGTACAACGTCCGGACACTTTCGAAGGGGCCTACTGACCTAGAGTTATATTTGTATGTTGCAGGTTCTCAACTAAGAACCAAGAATGATCGGACGTGTCCTTTTGTTCTGTCTGTGTATACTGGCGTGTCACATTGACCTGTCTCACCAACAAGGTAGGTGGACATGAAAGTGAGGTGAGGTGAGGTGAGGTGAGGTGAGGTGAGGTGAGGTGAGGTGAAGTGAAATGGGGTTTAACGTCGTGTCCAAGATTATTGCACTTATATAGCGACGTGCATGTACACGTGTGTGTGTGTGTGTGTGGCTGCTTGTACTAGTCCGGACTGATGCCGAGTTATAGTACTAGCCCACTGAGATACCATGCCGCAGTTTAACATGAATACCCCACTCAGACACAGCATACTTACTCCGAGCCGACCAGTCCTTGTTTTAGCCCCTTAATGCCGAGCGCCAGACAGGGTAACAACAAGTACCATCTTTTAACGTCTTTTGGTATGACGCGGTCGGGGATCGAACCCCGGACCTTCCGCTCTCCGGGCGGACGCTCTACCTCTAGACCACTGAGGTGGTCAACATGAAGTAGAATAGCATATATTCATCTAGCAAAGTAAGATTCTCTGTCATTTACAAATACGGACGTGTCTTAATATCAAGACTGTCTCCTTGGTCTAGTGGATAGAGCGTCTGTGGTTCGATCCCGGCTGCGTCATACCAAACCGTGTTAAAAGATGGTACCTATTGTTACCCTGCCTGGCACTCGGCATTACGGGGATAGGACAGCTAGGCCACCTCGAAGACAGTGTGCGGTATCTGAGTTGAGTATCCATACTAAACTGCGACATTTTGGGCGAGCAATATAATACATACATAGATGGATGGCACAGTACAAAAGATCTCTCTCAACTCCCTCTCTACTTCACTCTTTCTATATTACTATGGCTCATATAAATATATGTATGAAAATAAATATAATACACACTACGTCTGGCTGTCTATTCTACGCTCCCCCAAAATTGCAAATCAATTTCTGTCACGTGTCGATTTCCAAATTAGTGTGAAACCAACAATCAATTCACACATTGTACCCATGTCGGGAAGCGAATCCGGGTCTTCGGCGTGACAAGCGAACTATTGTATTATAAAGTGAACTAGGTTGACAAATCATTACATATTACTGCACAACAATCGCGGTACACAATAGTGGTAGAACAATATTCAATGGCAATAAATAATATGATAGCAGTGGTCAGTATCAAATACAATAACAGTGGTGAAAGCAAAAGTCAGTGATTGTAATTTATTCACCGAGCAGCGACAGTGGTCAAGCTTCCAGATAGGCCTTGACCGGGAATCCGGGTGATACTTTCACACGAAAGCTGGTCTTCATATAATGTCAGATGAAATGTGAGCTGAGACAGGGACGCGTCCGCTCCACTTATATAGCCTGAGCAGCTTACGGCACTTTCCACACAGTGGCTGACCAGTCCAGTGTCACGAGAACATCTTAGCATGTTCCACGTTTATATCACCCTAAACATCCATCCATGCTATTCCGGAAGTTTGTAGATAATTCGAGCGTCTAAATATACTAACTTTCTCATTGCTGCTTACATTAAAGAGTACTACATTTCTGACAGCTAATAATTATCCAAATATAATGAACCTCTACTGAAACTGAAACAGAAACAATGTAATACTCTCTCTCTCTCTCTCTCTCTCTCTGTCTCTCTCTCTCTCTCTCTCACACATACACACACACACTCACAGACACACATACACACACACACACACACACACACACATACACATACACACGCACATCTTACCTTTTATGTGGGAGAAAAGTCCGATATCATGCAGGTCTTAGGCATTTACCTTCTAACTCATATTATAACTCTAACTTTCCTATGTTTCTGTTGTGGCAGTGTTTCTCCTGGAACTCCAGAACGCAACTGCGGCTGTAGGTAGCACGACCTACTTCCAGGCCGCTGTTCTCGGCACCATCACTGGACAAGGTAATTGGTCCAGAAATGGTGTCCCGATTGTCCATCAACCTGGCAAGTATAACATCCTGACCACTGGTATATTTCGACAGCTTTTCATCACAAACACCGCCCTCTCAGATGCAGGAACTATCAGCTTCAGGATAAATGGAGAAGTGTCATCAGCTCAGCTTACTGTTTTACAAGGTACATTAGTATTTATATTTTTTCTTCAAGTATATCATTTTAGTTTATTATACCAAAATAGCTTCCACTGGAATTATCACATGGGGTGATAACTCCTTACAACACTCATCCCTCTGCCACTGAAAGTGGTAAGCTGTATCTTCTGGACTCAATACACTGTTTCTTTGTTTCTTTGTTTAACCCCGCACTCATCAATATTCCAGTTGTTTGACGGCGGTCTGTAAATAATCGATTCTGGATCAGACAATTGAGTTTCTGACACCAATGAGCATCGATCTACGCACTTAGGATACGACATACACCAACCTAGTCAGCGACCTTGACCACCCGATCCCATGAGTTGCCTCTTTCGGCATGCATGGGCTGCTGAAGACCTATTCCAGCCCGGGATCTTCACGAGTCCTGAAAAAAATAATTTTTGTACATTGCTTATTACTGTTTACAAAATGAAGATGTTGGAGGAACGATTTTGAAAGATAGAGAAAAACCCACCTTTGTGTCATTTGGTAACAAATATACCAATACTCATTAAGCCTCGGAGTTTCCAACTTTGATCGACTCCTGTTGATATTGTAATATTAAAAGACACAAAGGTGGGATGATCTTACAGCTTCAGAGGGAGCTAATGGTATTAAAATCACAAATGCCTTCGATACTTGAGATTTGTTTTCAGTGTTAGAAAGAATGACTGAAAATAAATGAATAAACATAAACAAACTAATAAATTTGAGAAAAATAAAAATAATAAAATAAATATCAAATAATAAGACAATATATTTTTAGTATGTTAACATTTCTGTTGAGCCAGTTGTAACATATCCATAAACTGTTTTTTTTTAAAAACTGAAAGGTTTTACTGTTTGTTTTCAGCCTTTTCATATCAATTGTCTATCATTGTTTCAAAGGGTTGTTACTCTTCTCACTGGGCTAACCGACCAGAGAGCCATTTTGCATGATTAACTGTTCCTGGCAAAGAACAACTTACCATTTTTCTCATTTGTTTCAACTGTTACGGCAGGTACCGCGTATATCTTTGTGGCATTTGTTGTAAGATAATGTATGGAATGTTTGTATCATTGTTGTCATATTATTTTAAGTTACTGTGTTTAATTATTTACCTCCTTATTCCATTATTTTCAAGGCGCCGTAAGTATTGTGAGTGGACTAACCCCCCAGACAGTCAATACTGGGAGTACTGTCACCCTACAGGCCACCTTATCTCAAAGTAACATCCAAACAGGACAGTGGTTTAAGAACGGGGCGGTATTGACGACCAACGCTCGCATACAGACGTCAGTGAATGGGCAATCTCAGATTCTGAGCATATCAAATGTCCAGACTTCGGATCGGGCAACGTATGAATACAGAGTTAATGGACTATCCACAAGCGCACTTCTCACAGTTAATGTTCCAATAGGTGGGTATATGAAGACAAAGTGTGGCCACGGTATTACACGAGTCATTTATGCCAAAAACAGTTATTTGTTGTTTATTTAAACTGCAATGTTCCTTTGCCAATATTAGCTCTTCCTGTCGCGGAGTATTTTCCATGATAACGCCTATAATTGCTTTCTCCTCTATTTCAACTGCATTCAAAAATAAGAAGTGCAACGTTCATATCAATATTGCCATATTCGTAAGATAAGGTATTCAATGTTTATATCATTATTGCCATAATTTCAAGCTAAGGTATTCAATGTTTATGTCAATGTTACCATGTCTGTAAGATGAGGTTTTCGATGTTTATATCATTATTGCCATATTTTCAAGATGAGGTATTCAATGTTTACATAATTATTGCCACATTTTCAAGATAAGGTATACAATGAGTATATCATTATTGTCATATTTCCAACATTAAGTATTCAATGTTTATGTAACTATTGTTATATTTTCAAGATATGGAATTCAATGTTTATATCAATATTGCAAGATTTTCATGACAAGGTATTCAATGTTTATATCAATATTGCCATATTTTGAAGATAAGGTATTCAATGTTTATGTCATTATTGCCATATTTTGTAAAATAATGTATTTTATGTTATATTATTACAGCCAGTTTTTAGATAGTTATATAATGTTAAACCTTTAATGCTACATTTTCAAGATAAGGTTTTTAAATGTTTAGATCCATATTCCATTCATTTCAAGGCGCCGTAAGTATTGTGAGTGGACTAACCCCCCAGACAGTCAATACTGGGAGTACTGTCACCCTACAGGCCACCTTATCTCAGACTAACATCCAAACAGGACAGTGGTTTAAGAACGGGGCGGTATTGACGACCAACGCTCGCATACAGACGTTTGTGAATGGACAATCTCAGATTCTGAGCATATCAAATGTCCAGACTTCGGATGGGGCCACGTATGAATACAGAGTTAATGGACTATCCACAAGCGCACTTCTCACAGTTAATGTTCCAATAGGTGGGTAAATGACGACGAAGCGTTGCCGCGGTGTCACACGACTCATTTATACCAAAAACAGTTATTTGTTTGTTTTTCTAAACTGCAATGTTCCTTTGCCAACATTAACTGTTCCTGTCACGGAGCATTTTTCATGCTTACGTCTATAATTGCTTTCTCCTCTATTCCAACTGCTTCAAAAAACACGAAATGTAACGTTCATAACAATATGACCATATCTGTAAGATAAGGAATTGGATGTTTGTATCACTATTGCCATAATTTCAAGATAACGAATTCAATGTTTATATCATTATTGCCATATTTGTAAGATAAGGTATTCAATGTTTATATCAGTATTGCCATAACTTCAAGATAAGGCATTCAATGTTTATGTCAATGTTGCCATATCTGTAAGATGGGGTTTTCGATGTTTATATCATTATTGCCACATTTTCAAGATAAGGTATGCAATGATTATATCATTATTGTCATATTGCAACATTAAGTATTCACTGTTTATGTTACTATTGCTCTATTTTTAAGATATGGAATTCAATGTTTATATCAATATTGCTAGATTTTCAAGACAAGGTATTCAATGTTTATATCAATATTGTCATATTTTCAAGATAGGGTATTCAATGTTTATGTCACTATTGACATATTTGTACGATAAGATGTTCCATGATTTTGTCATTATTGCCATATTTTGAAAAAGGGTATTTAATGTTTATATCATTATTGCCATATTTTGTAAAACAATGTATTTTATGTTATATTATTAAATCCATTTTTAAGATAGTTATATAATGTTAAACCTTTAATGCTACATTTTCAAGATAAGGTTTTTAAATGTTTAGATCCATATTCCATTCATTTCAAGGCGCCGTAAGTATTGTGAGTGGACTAACCCCCCAGACAGTCAATACTGGGAGTACTGTCACCCTACAGGCCACCTTATCTCAGACTAACATCCAAACAGGACAGTGGTTTAAGAACGGGGCGGTATTGACGACCAACGCTCGCATACAGACGTTTGTGAATGGACAATCTCAGATTCTGAGCATATCAAATGTCCAGACTTCGGATGGGGCCACGTATGAATACAGAGTTAATGGACTATCCACAAGCGCACTTCTCACAGTTAATGTTCCAATAGGTGGGTAAATGACGACGAAGCGTTGCCGCGGTGTCACACGACTCATTTATACCAAAAACAGTTATTTGTTTGTTTTTCTAAACTGCAATGTTCCTTTGCCAACATTAACTGTTCCTGTCACGGAGCATTTTTCATGCTTACGTCTATAATTGCTTTCTCCTCTATTCCAACTGCTTCAAAAAACACGAAATGTAACGTTCATAACAATATGACCATATCTGTAAGATAAGGAATTGGATGTTTGTATCACTATTGCCATAATTTCAAGATAACGAATTCAATGTTTATATCATTATTGCCATATTTGTAAGATAAGGTATTCAATGTTTATATCAGTATTGCCATAACTTCAAGATAAGGCATTCAATGTTTATGTCAATGTTGCCATATCTGTAAGATGGGGTTTTCGATGTTTATATCATTATTGCCACATTTTCAAGATAAGGTATGCAATGATTATATCATTATTGTCATATTGCAACATTAAGTATTCACTGTTTATGTTACTATTGCTCTATTTTTAAGATATGGAATTCAATGTTTATATCAATATTGCTAGATTTTCAAGACAAGGTATTCAATGTTTATATCAATATTGTCATATTTTCAAGATAGGGTATTCAATGTTTATGTCACTATTGACATATTTGTACGATAAGATGTTCCATGATTTTGTCATTATTGCCATATTTTGAAAAAGGGTATTTAATGTTTATATCATTATTGCCATATTTTGTAAAACAATGTATTTTATGTTATATTATTAAATCCATTTTTAAGATAGTTATATAATGTTAAACCTTTAATGCTACATTTTCAAGATAAGGTTTTTAAATGTTTAGATCCATATTCCATTCATTTCAAGGCGCCGTAAGTATTGTGAGTGGACTAACCCCCCAGACAGTCAATACTGGGAGTACTGTCACCCTACAGGCCACCTTATCTCAGACTAACATCCAAACAGGACAGTGGTTTAAGAACGGGGCGGTATTGACGACCAACGCTCGCATACAGACGTTTGTGAATGGACAATCTCAGATTCTGAGCATATCAAATGTCCAGACTTCGGATGGGGCCACGTATGAATACAGAGTTAATGGACTATCCACAAGCGCACTTCTCACAGTTAATGTTCCAATAGGTGGGTAAATGACGACGAAGCGTTGCCGCGGTGTCACACGACTCATTTATACCAAAAACAGTTATTTGTTTGTTTTTCTAAACTGCAATGTTCCTTTGCCAACGTTAACTGTTCCTGTCACGGAGCATTTTTCATGCTAACGTCTATAATTGCTTTCTCCTCTATTCCAACTGCATTCAAAAATAAGAAGTGTAACGTTCATATCAATATTGCCATATTCGTAAGATAAGGTATTCAATGTTTATATCATTATTGCCATAATTTCAAGCTAAGGTATTCAATGTTTATGTCAATGTTACCATGTCTGTAAGATGAGGTTTTCGATGTTTATATCATTATTGCCATATTTTCAAGATGAGGTATTCAATGTTTACATAATTATTGCCATATTTTCAAGATAAGGTATACAATAAGTATATCATTATTGTCATATTTCCAACATTAAGTATTCAATGTTTATGTTACTATTGCTATATTTTCAAGATATGGAATTCAATGTTTACATCAATATTGCAAGATTTTGAAGATAAGGTATTCAATGTTTATGTCACTATTGCCATATTTTGAAAAATAATGTATTTTATGTTATATTATTACAGCCATTTTTAAGATAGTTTAATGCTACATTTTCAAGATAAGGTTTTTAAATGTTTATATCCATATTCCATTCTTTTCAAGGCGCCGTAAGTATTGTGAGTGGACTACCCCCTCAGACAGTCAATACTGGGAGTACTGTCACCCTACAGGCCACCTTATCTAAAAGTAACATCCAAACAGGACAGTGGTTTAAGAACGGGGCGGTATTGACGACCAACGCTCGCATACAGACGTTTGTGAATGGGCAATTTCAGATTCTGAGTATATCAAATGTCCAGACTTCGGATGGGGCCACGTATGAATACAGAGTTAATGGACTATCCACAAGCGCACTTCTCACAGTTAATGTTCCAATAGGTGGGTATATCAAGACAAAGCGTTGCCACGGCGTTACACGACTCATTTATACCAAAAAATAAGGTATTGACTTAAAAAAAACATCACCAGTGACTATATTTAGGGATCCAAGAAGAAATGTGTATAGCCCTATTGTTTTCGCTCTATTTATTTGTAGAGCTCCAAACCGAAAGGCGTATATATTGTAACCTTTCTGTTTATTGTCATTAGGGCTTTAAGCTGAGAGGCTTGAAGCCCTTTTTGTAATCATCCGATTTCATGTCTATTTTTTTCTGTTTGTAATTTTTATTATTCCGCCGATGTACTGGCTCGATTCTGTTCAAAATCTGTATGAACATGTAGACAGTTGAGTTTCAGATACCAAAAAAAGCCAAAGGGCGTAGGCTCAATGACCAAGGGTAGATAATTCAATATCAAATAACTTTTTAGAGAGGATTTTGCTCTATTGCTCCAAAACCGCTGGCCCGATAACTTTAAAACTTTCATCTCTCCAATTCTTTAGGTGCTTAACATTAAATGTTCTTTGGTTTTGACCTTTGCTTGCGTGATTTGGATTCCATATTGGATTCAAGGTTTTCACATTATGTTATACTTTGTTTTGGGTAGATGTCTTCAAAATCCTTTTGTGTTTTTCGTTCATACTTGCGTTTGTACCTGGGTTTGTGTGAGCAATTTTGCTTGTGTTTGTGTATGCGTGCGTGCGTTTGTTGGCATGTGCGTTTTAGTGTGCATGCGTTTTTGTTTGCGTATGTTGCACGTGTATTTGTGTTGTTTGTGCGTGCGTACGTTTGTATGTGCGTTCTGTGCGCGTTTCTGCGCGTGTGTGCGTGAGGGCATTTGTGCATGAGTGCATTTTTTGTAACGTTTAATCATGCATTTATGGGTGCTTGTGTGTGTGTACTCTCTGTACGTACATTTGCTTGCGTCTGTGCGTGCGTAATTTTGTGTGAGCCTTTGTGTGTGCGTTTTTATACGTCGTGCATGCGTGCGTACTGTTGTTGGTACGTGCGTTTAAGTTTGGGTTTGTGAGTGCATGCATATTTGTTTGTGTATGTTTGTACATGCATTTCTTTAAGGTTTCGCCATGCCTGTTTTTGTTTTTGCTTGAACTAATATGTGACTTTGCTTGTCGTAAGAGGCGACTAACGGGATTAGGTAATCAGGCTCGCTGACTTGGTTGATGCATGTCATCGATCCAAATTGCGTGGATGTCAATCACTGGATTGTCTGGTCCAGACTCGATTATTTACAGACCGCCGTCATAAAGCCGGAATATTGCTGAGTGCGCCGTTAAACAACAAACAAACAAAAAAACAAACAATCATTTTACGCCCAGTGGGATCTGTCTCGACAGTTACTTGACACTGATTGTTCTTTGGCATTTTATATAACAGTACGCATATTTTTTAAAAGGTCCTATAGTCAATGGTGGATTATCACAGTGGACCGAATGGACTGGTCTACCTTGTGGCGTTGCCTGCGAAACAAGAACGGATGTGATACGGACGCGAACAAGAAGCTGCTCCAACCCACCTCCCAGCAATGGAGGACTCAACTGTACTGGGTCGTTTGTGGACGTTCTGTCTGCTTGCGTGGGTAGGTACGACCAGTGAGACCAGGGGACGCCAGGGGAGGCCAGGGGAGTCAGGGAAGACTAGGGGAGTCCAGGGGAGATCAGGGGAGTCCAGGGGAGACTAGGGGAGTTCAAGGGAATCAAGGGGAGACTAGGGGATTCCAGAGGGAGACCATGGGAGTCAAGGGGGAGACTAGGGGAGGCCAGGGGAGACTAGTGGAGACCAGGGGAGGCCAGGGGAGTCCAGGGGGAGACTAGTGGAGACCAGGGGAGGCCAGGGGAGTCCAGGGGAGTCCAGGGGAGACCAAGGGAGACTAGTGGAGACTAGGGGATTCAAGGGGAGACTACGGGATTCCAGGGGGAGAACAGGGGAGACCAGGGGAGTCAAGGGGAGTCAAGGGGAGTCCAGGGGTAACCAGGGGAGTCAAGGGGAGACAAGTGGAGTCCATGGGAGACAAGTGGAGTCCATGGGAGACTAGTGGAGTCCAGGGGAGTCAAGGGGAGACTAGGGGATTCCAGGGGAGTCCAGGGGAGTCCGTGGGAGACTAGTGGAGTCCAGGGGAGACAAGTGGAGTCCGTGGGAGACTAGTGGAGTCCGTGGGAGCCCAGGGGAGACTCGGGGTGACCAGGGGAGTCCGTTGGAGACTAGTGGAGTCCAGGGGAGACCAAGGGAGTCCATGAGAGTCCAGGGGAGACCAGGGGAGTCCGTGGCAGACTAGTGGAGTCCAGGGGAGACCAAGGGAGTCCATGAGAGTCCAGGGGGAGACTAGTGGAGACTAAGGGGAGACTAGTGGAGTCCGTGGGAGACCAGGGGAGAGTCGGGGAGACCAGGAGAGTCCAGGAGAGTACAGGGGAGTCACGGGGACTCCTTGGGAGACTAGGGGAGTCCAGGGGTGACAAGGGGAGACCAGGGGAGACCAGGGGAGTCCAGGGGGAGACTAGTGGAGACCAGAGGAGTCCAGGGGAGTCACGGGGACTCCTGGGGAGACTAGGGGAGACCAGGGGAGTCCAGGGGAGTCACGGGGAGACCAGGGTACTCCAGGGGAGACCATGGGAGTCCAGGGGAGTCCAGGGGAGTCTAGGGGGAGACCAGGGAGTCCAGGGGAGACAAGTGGAAACCAGGGGAGACCAGGGGAGTCCAGGGGAGTCAAGAGGAGACTAGTGGAGACAAGGGGAGTCCAGTGGAGTCCAGAGGGAGACTAGTGGAAACCAGGGGAGACCAGGGGAGATTAGGAATCCAGGGGAAACTGGGGACCAAAGGGGTCTATGGGAGTCCAGGGGAGTCCAGGGGGAGACCAGGGGAGACTAGTGGAGACCAGAGGAGTCCAGGGGACACCAGGGGAGACTAGGGGACTCCTGGGGAGACTAGGGGAGTCCAGGGGTGACAAGGGGAGAGCAGGGGAGACTAGTGGAGACCAGGGGAGACCAGGGGAGACCAGGGGAGTCCAGGGTAGACTAGTGGAGACCAGAGGAGTCCAGGGGAGTCACGGGGACTCCTGGGGAGACTAGGGGAGTCCATGGGAGTCCATGGGAGACTAGTGGAGTCCATGGGAGATCACGGGAGTCCAGATGAGTCCAGGGGAGACTAGTGGGGTCCAGGGGAGACAAGTGGAGACCAGGGAAGTCAATGGGAGACCACAGGAGACCACGGGCGTCCAGGGGAATCTGGGGGAGACTAGTTGAGACCAGGGAGTCCAGGGGAGATTAGGAATCAAGGGGAAACTGGGGACTCTAGGGGAGACAATGGGAGTCCATGGGAGTCCAGATGAGTCCAGGGGAGAATAGTGGAGACCAGGGGAGACCAGGGGAGACCACGGGAGTCCAGAGGAGTCCAGGGGAGACTAGTGGAGTCCAGGGAAGACTAGTGGAGACCAGGGGAGTCCATGGGAGACCACGGGAGTCCAGGGGAGCCAGGGGGTGACTAGTCGAGAGCAGGGGAGTCCAGGGGATTCAAGGGGAGATGATGCTGATTTAGTGACATTGTATACAAAAACCTGACATTGTATCTAAAGACCTGACATGGTATACAAAGACCTGACACGGTATACAAAGACCTGACATGGTATACAAAGACCTCATATGGTATACAAAGACCTGACATGGTATACAAAGACCTGACATGGTATACAAATACCTGACATGGTATACAAAGACCTGACATGGTATACAAAGACCTGACATGGTATACAAAGACCTAACATGGTATACAAAGACCTGACATGGTATACAAAGACCTGACATGGTATACAAAGACCTGACATGGTACACAAAGACCTGACATGGTATACAAAGACCTGACATGGTATACAAAGACCTAACATGGTATACAAAGACCTGACATGGTATACAAAGACTTGACATGGTATACAAAGACCTGACATGGTATACAAAGACCTGACATGGTATACAGTTCTTCAAAACGCATTACAGGACCTGTAAACGGCGGGTTTTCCCTGTGGTCTGAATGGTCTGACCCTTCCTGTGGCATCACCTGTGGCTCCACCAACGGTATCATCAGGTCACGAACCAGAAGGTGCACAAACCCCGTTCCCAGTAATGGCGGACTGCCATGTTTTGGGGATGTAGTGCAGACGTCTGTCAAGACGTGTAGCTTCGCTGCTTGTCAAGGTGAGTGTTTTAGTGTAACATGTTGAGGGTCAAGGTCGATATTATTTCATTCTCTTCTCTTTATCCTTTCATTATTCAAATATTATTATTTTCGTCAACTCATATTTTCTTGAGTATGTATTTATTTTTATCTCACTGGCGTCATTCATTTTCCAAAGTTATCTTAATAAATGGTTTCCTATCAATGAGTGTTGCGTTACTTATGCCTCGCCTTACAAGATTATCCCACCTCTCCTGTGGTGAGTCTCGCTTTACCATGTTACCCCACTTCTCCAGTGGCGAGCCTCGCCTTACAAGATTATCCCACCTCTCCTGTGGTGAGTCTCGCTTTACCATGTTACCCCACTTCTCCAGTGGCGAGCCTCGCCTTACAAGATTATCCCACCTCTCCTGTGGTGAGCCTTGCCTTACCATGTTACCCCACTTCTCCAGTGGCGAGTCTAGCCTTACTAGATTATCCAACCTCTCCTGTGGTGAACCTCGCCTTACAAGGTTATTTCACCTCTCCAGTAGCGAGCCTCGCCTTACAAGGCTATGCCACCTCTCCCGTGGCGGGCCTCCTTTTACAAGGCTATGCCACCTCTCCTGCGTTGAGCCTAGCCTTACAAGGTTATTGTAATAACTCATATTAATGAGTGTTGCATTACTTGTGCCGCACCTTACTAGCTTATTCAACATCTCCTGTGGCGAGCCTCGCCTTACACAGTTATTCCACTTCTCCTGTGGCGAGCCGTGCGTTAAGAAATAGATTATCCCACCGCTACTGTTGTTGATGTAGAATGTGAGTTGAACTAAACACCATGGAATGTTTCTTTTATATATGGAAAATCTTCTTGTCTCGTTTACATCTTTAACATAAATTGCAGGACATGTGTGTTTCTTCAACAATAAAGTTAATCAGTTTACTGGTTTCATGATGTAAATGTGTTTTTTTCATCAGTGAATGGTGGACTAACAGCTTGGACTCAGTGGACCGATCCACCATGTGGCATCACGTGTGGACAACGATCAGATGTTATGCGGACACGCACCAGGAGCTGTTCCAATCCACTCCCCAGCAATGGAGGACGTGACTGCACGGGGTCTTTGGTGGAGATTTTGCAGAAAACCTGTTTCTTCCCAGCTTGTGTTGGTAGGATGCACCGTTATAAACTGGCTGCTTACACAGTTTTTCTTTGTTTGTTTATTGTTTATAGCCACACTAATACGTCGCAGCAATATTCCTGCTGTATGACTGAGGTCTGTGAAAAGTCGAGTCGATAAACCAGTGATCGATACCATGAACCACACCCAAAGCCGCCTGGGGTTTATGACACACAATCAACCAAGTGACCGAGACATTTGAACTTGCCAATCAGTATCTAATTTCATTCGTTTCTATTTAATTTGGTACTAAATTATATACTTCATAAATAAATAGTGTCTTTTAAATAGGTATCGCATATGTGTTTGTAGTGTCTATGTCAATGTTCGTGTATTTTGCTCTCACACGAATTGGCATATAAAATACATAAACGAGATCTTAGTAATTGTATATACTGTCGACAGTGGGCGTCGGCTTGATATTTGCGTGCAATGTCGACAGTTAATGATGAGTTGATATTTGTGTATATTGTCGACAGTGAATGGTGGTTTGACGCCATGGTCCCAGTGGAGTGGACCACCTTGTGACTTGACCTGTGGAGCTAAGAACGATGTGGTGAGAACCAGAACCAGAAGCTGCACCAACCCTGCCCCCAGTAATGGCGGACTGAACTGCACCGGACCCTTCGTTGAAGTTAAAGCTTCGTGTGTCGGTAAGTTGAGCGAAAGCGTTGGACTAAATGCCGCTGTTGTAGTGCGTTTGCTGTGTGTTACGTTCATCTGAACAGTAGTTTGTTATATCAGTTTATCAGTTTACTCCGGGAGGAACTCATTGGACACACGTCAAAGGCGTCAATATAGTGAGTGTGTGAATTGGGTTTAATGCCGCTTTTAACAATATTCCAGTTATATCGCGGCGTGTCAGCTTAATGTGGGAGGAAAGCCGAAAGTGATGCAGGTCTCAGACGTTTACAACTTCGTTGAAACCCACGAGCACGGGTATGGTGCTGACAAACCTAGAAACATAATCGGGGCGAGCCGGGATTCGAACCTACAATCATAGGTTTCTGGCATGCCCAAGGGACGCAACTCTGCACAGCGAATGGCAGCGTTTTAGACGACTGGGCCACCCATGCTCTCCTAGTGCTGACAGAAGGTGATTCTTGGATTCGAACTCGGATTGGATGCATTTCTAAACTAATGTATAAACAACGTGGTCTTGTACGACATTTGCGAACCAGAAGGTTCAACGTTCTTCCTGCAAGGAGTATGGTATGGTAGTGTTGAGGTTTTTGCTGATATCAATGCTCTGCCTTACACTTTCTCCGTGTGTCGTATGTTCAACCGATTCTGTAATCTTGAGAGCTGGTTCTGGTGCTGACAAACCACAACGATTTCGAGTTCACCATTGTTGTACTGATCTTGTGGAGACTCGGCGTTGTGTTGGAACACACCAACCAGTAGGTGCTGGAGATTATTTTGCAACTGGAGTGGAACGTAACGTGCATCCTCTTGTGTCGTACTTACACCGACCACTAGTTGCAAAGATACTTGCTTCTTCTTTTGTATGCTATAGAATCAAGGCTTATGTAACATGAACAGGTATATACAAAATGTACTATTCAAATGAAGTTCAAGAACACCTGATGTTTTCATATGTCTATGGCCATGAAACATTAACTGTATAGTCATCTGAAATATCGGGTGTTCCTTAACCTCTTTTGAGTGATATTTTTGGATGCAGCTTTCTTTATCGTAAGCATCCATGAAATAACAAAGCTCTTTCATACGTCAATAAATATATTTCCAGTCCCTGTCAATGGAGGATTCACTCAGTGGACGCAGTGGACTAACCCTTCCTGTGGCATCACCTGTGGCTCCACCAGCAGTGTGTTGAGGTCAAGGACAAGAAGCTGCACCAACCCCATCCCCACTAATGGCGGCCTACAGTGCTCCGGGGATAGTGTTGAAACATTGGTCAAGACGTGTGTCTTCCCAGCGTGCCCGGGTGAGTTCGTGAGTTTGTGTATTTCTTAGTGACAAACCACTTGACACTTCTTGTTACAGAAAATATGCCCCTTCTTACCAGATAAAGAAAATACTTCTACCATTTTACTGAAGATTGTATGACGACAGCCATGTTTATCATTTAAGATTTGTTTGCGTTCATCTGAATTGAATCATGTTTACATGTATTTCTCGGCCTTCGTGGCAATCAAACTCAGTGTCCCTGTCCCAAGATAAAGTGTGCAGCGTTGTGTTTTGTTCTTATTTGTGAACAGATCTGACTTTATCATATAATGGGTAGGTTTCTCGGCAGGATAAAGAAAACGGATAAAAACGATATCCGTTGGGGGCATATGCGGATAGTGATGCAAATATCAAAGCTCAAGTAGGGACTACTGTCACTGTTTATAAAAAAACATGGCATCGCCCTCGTCATTCGGCAATCGAGTCAGAATTAACCATCGGGAATCTGGATAAACTACTGGGATAATTGCTATCATTATCAAAAGAACAGTCTAATATACTGAAAATCACATTTTATAAGTTTTGGTAATTTTGGAGATGTAAATTTCGTAACAATTTTGCGAGGGCACGAGGCCTAGCCAAGCGGGATCAGTAGCCATATCTGTGCTTGTAGACCTCTGCGGTTTGAAACCTTCTCCACAAATTAAAATAGTTGGATTTGGCCGAAATATGTTTGAATTGTTACCTTGTTTCGGTTTGTCGCTGTTTGTACATCTGACTACACTTCTTAACATTATGACAAGACAGACCGACTGTCAACAACGTCTGGCCGTGGCCGTGACGTTTCATAGACTAGGGTTAGAGTAGCTTCCCTTTGACAAAGGGCAGTTACTCTAGCAGACAGACCGATGGATTGCCGCAAAAGGCAATTACAAGCAACTGTTGTTTTGCGTATATGTTGCCTCGCCACTGTATAAGAAACACATTTCAATTGGAACTATATTGGCTACTGTCACTGTCCGACTGATACATCACTTACCCTGTGACGTAATAAATATTAATGAGCGCATTCCAGGAAAACTCGCAATGTTTCGGTAATGTTTGTGAGAGAGGGAAAGCGCTTTTGAAAGCACAGAATAAAAGAATGACATTATATGATAAAGAGGTTATCACGCTTGTGTGTTTGGGGATCGTAAGTATCCTGTATTAGGAATAAACACTATGTATTTAGCTCACCAAGGCTCGCTAAATACGTGTGCGAAATACGCATCAGTCGGAAAGCGCACGTTAAATCTCCAAAGTAAGTAAGTAAGTAAGCTAAACACAATGTTTATTTACAGGATATTTACAATCCCCAAATACACTCGCGTGATAACCTCTATGTACACTTGAAAGCAAGCACGTTTATACAATAAGACTCTTTGACGAAAGCAAACTTGTTATTTATTTTTTGTTTTAATTCATCTGCCTTGATGTAAATCATACTCACGGTACCCCAGTCTGGTGATACGATTAAGGGTGGGTTCAAATCCCGGTTCAAGTATATTTCTCGGTTTGTCAGCACCATACCCGTGCTCGTGGGTTTCACGGAAACTATAAAGGTCTGAGACCTACATCACTTTCGGCTTTCCTCCCACATTAAGCTGACACGCCGCGATATTACTGGAATACTTTTAAAAGCGGCATTAAACCCAACTCACTCACTCACTGATAAGAACGAAACATGTTTGAGAACGTATTCAGTGTTGTGTGTTGTATTTGATTTTAGTATATTGGACTGTACTCCCGAATTGCTTTTACTTTGATACATAAGGAGCATAGCATACATTAAATCATTACGATATACTTACAGATTCGGCAGAGCATACACCAAAGCATACATAATACACAGATGGACCTATAAGTTTCCTATCTCGGATTATAATCCTAATTTGACAATGTCACTGCGACATGATGCTGGTCAGAAGGTAGTGGGGAACAGATAAAGTACTCTAATCCACATGATCTAAATAACAATAAACATCTTTCTTATTTGCATAGTGGACGGTGGCCTGAACCACAACTATACACAGAACGTTTCTAAGCAAGCTGTATGTTTGTCATTGTCTAGTGGACGGGAGCCTGACGCTCTTGGAATGTGTTTAGGCACAATTATACACAGAACGTTTCTAAGCAAGCTGGGTTTTTTGGTCATTGTCTAGTGGACGGGGGCCTGACGCTCTTGGAATTGTGTTTAGGTACAATTATTCTCAGAACGTTTCTAAGCACGCAGCATGTTTGTCATGTCTAGTTAACGGTGGCCTGACGCTCTGGACACAGTGGACCAATCCACCTTGCGGCATCAGTTGTGGAACAAGAACTGACTTGACACGAACACGGACCAGGAGCTGCACCAACCCTCCTCCCAGCAATGGTGGACAAGGCTGCGCTGGTCTTTTAGTTGAGGTCGAACCGAGAAACTGTGACTTTGCTGCTTGCATTGGTGTGTTTGTTTGTTTGTTTGTTTGTTTGTTTGTTTGTTTGTTTGTGTTTAACGTAAAAGATTACGAAACATCCTTGCTTGATGTATATCATATTCTTTGAAAAAGCCAGTTGTCGGTTATAGAAAGAGACAGAACTTCTTAAAACGATTTTCCATAAGGTTTTTTTTGTGTGTGTTTAACGCTGCACTCAGCAATCGACCATGACGGCGGTCTGTAAATAATCGGGTCTGGTCCAAACTATCCAGGGATTGGCATTATGAGCATCGATGTAATCAATTGAGATACGATGACATCCCGTTAGTCGTGTCTTACGACACGTGTGCTGAAGATAGGCGCATTGGTTAGTGCGTGAATGGTGATTCTGGGTCTCCTCCTCATGTATCCCGTTAATCATTCATTGTTTCTTATGTAAGAATTTTCAAATTAATTTCAGTAGACATGGTTGTCATAGGTGAGGGGGCGTGGATGGGGGAGGGGGATACGTGCATCCTCCCTCGAACATCTTGTATCATCACTTTCATCACATCCTTAGGCTGTAGGGAGTCGGACAATGGACTCCAATGACTCTTATCATTATGGAAAGTTTTTTGTCTTTGTTGCATCATTTACAGTTGCACGGGAATCATCATTTCATCATTAATCACAAATTCCGCATGAAGTCTGTTTGGACCAACGATATTTGCATTGACATGTTTTCTGTAAAATCGTTAAATCAGATTATTTCTCTTGAAAAGGTGGGGCGGATGAGTATCCTGGTGATAAGAGCGTTCGCTCGTCACACCGAAGACTCGGGTTCGATTCCCGACATGGGTACAATGTGTGTCCCCCGCCGTGATATTGCTGAAAAATTGCTAAAAGCAGCACAAATCCATACTCACTCACTCACTGTAAAATGCATACACCAAAGCATACATAATACACAGATGGACCTATAAGTTTCCTATCTCGGATTATAATCCTAATTTGACAATGTCACATTTCAGTAGACATGGTTGTCATAGGTGAGGGGGCGTGGATGGGGGAGGGGGATACGTGCATCCTCCCTCGAACATCTTGTATCATCACTTTCATCACATCCTTAGGCTGTAGGGAGTCGGAAAATGGACTCCAATGACTCTTATCATTATGGAAAGTTTTTTGTCTTTGTTGCATCATTTACAGTTGCACGGGAATCATCATTTCATCATTAATCACAAATTCCGCATGCAGTCTGTTTGGACCAACGATATTTGCATTGACATGTTTTCTGTAAAATCGTTAAATCAGATTATTTCTCTTGAAAAGGTGGGGCGGATGAGTATCCTGGTGATAAGAGCGTTCGCTCGTCACACCGAAGACTCGGGTTCGATTCCCGACATGGGTACAATGTGTGTCCCCCGCCGTGATATTGCTGAAAAAATGCTAAAAGCAGCACAAATCCATACTCACTCACTCACTGTAAAATGCATACACCAAAGCATACATAATACACAGATGGACCTATAAGTTTCCTATCTCGGATTATAATCCTAATTTGACAATGTCACATTTCAGTAGACATGGTTGTCATAGGTGAGGGGGCGTGGATGGGGGAGGGGGATACGTGCATCCTCCCTCGAACATCTTGTATCATCACTTTCATCACATCCTTAGGCTGTAGGGAGTCGGACAATGGACTCCAATGACTCTTATCATTATGGAAAGTTTTTTGTCTTTGTTGCATCATTTACAGTTGCACGGGAATCATCATTTCATCATTAATCACAAATTCCGCATGAAGTCTGTTTGGACCAACGATATTTGCATTGACATGTTTTCTGTAAAATCGTTAAATCAGATTATTTCTCTTGAAAAGGTGGGGCGGATGAGTATCCTGGTGATAAGAGCGTTCGCTCGTCACACCGAAGACTCGGGTTCGATTCCCGACATGGGTACAATGTGTGTCCCCCGCCGTGATATTGCTGAAAAATTGCTAAAAGCAGCACAAATCCATACTCACTCACTCACTGTAAAATGCATACACCAAAGCATACATAATACACAGATGGACCTATAAGTTTCCTATCTCGGATTATAATCCTAATTTGACAATGTCACATTTCAGTAGACATGGTTGTCATAGGTGAGGGGGCGTGGATGGGGGAGGGGGATACGTGCATCCTCCCTCGAACATCTTGTATCATCACTTTCATCACATCCTTAGGCTGTAGGGAGTCGGAAAATGGACTCCAATGACTCTTATCATTATGGAAAGTTTTTTGTCTTTGTTGCATCATTTACAGTTGCACGGGAATCATCATTTCATCATTAATCACAAATTCCGCATGCAGTCTGTTTGGACCAACGATATTTGCATTGACATGTTTTCTGTAAAATCGTTAAATCAGATTATTTCTCTTGAAAAGGTGGGGCGGATGAGTATCCTGGTGATAAGAGCGTTCGCTCGTCACACCGAAGACTCGGGTTCGATTCCCGACATGGGTACAATGTGTGTCCCCCGCCGTGATATTGCTGAAAAAATGCTAAAAGCAGCACAAATCCATACTCACTCACTCACTGTAAAATGCATACACCAAAGCATACATAATACACAGATGGACCTATAAGTTTCCTATCTCGGATTATAATCCTAATTTGACAATGTCACATTTCAGTAGACATGGTTGTCATAGGTGAGGGGGCGTGGATGGGGGAGGGGGATACGTGCATCCTCCCTCGAACATCTTGTATCATCACTTTCATCACATCCTTAGGCTGTAGTGAGTCGGACAATGGACTCCAATGACTCTTATCATTATGGAAAGTTTTTTGTCTTTGTTGCATCATTTACAGTTGCACGGGAATCATCATTTCATCATTAATCACAAATTCCGCATGAAGTCTGTTTGGACCAACGATATTTGCATTGACATGTTTTCTGTAAAATCGTTAAATCAGATTATTTCTCTTGAAAAGGTGGGGCGGATGAGTATCCTGGTGATAAGAGCGTTCGCTCGTCACGCCGAAGACTCGGGTTCGATTCCCGACATGGGTACAATGTGTGTCCCCCGCCGTGATATTGCTGAAAAATTGCTAAAAGCAGCACAAATCCATACTCACTCACTCACTGTAAAATGCATACACCAAAGCATACATAATACACAGATGGACCTATAAGTTTCCTATCTCGGATTATAATCCTAATTTGACAATGTCACATTTCAGTAGACATGGTTGTCATAGGTGAGGGGGCGTGGATGGGGGAGGGGGATACGTGCATCCTCCCTCGAACATCTTGTATCATCACTTTCATCACATCCTTAGGCTGTAGTGAGTCGGACAATGGACTCCAATGACTCTTATCATTATGGAAAGTTTTTTGTCTTTGTTGCATCATTTACAGTTGCACGGGAATCATCATTTCATCATTAATCACAAATTCCGCATGAAGTCTGTTTGGACCAACGATATTTGCATTGACATGTTTTCTGTAAAATCGTTAAATCAGATTATTTCTCTTGAAAAGGTGGGGCGGATGAGTATCCTGGTGATAAGAGCGTTCGCTCGTCACGCCGAAGACTCGGGTTCGATTCCCGACATGGGTACAATGTGTGTCCCCCGCCGTGATATTGCTGAAAAATTGCTAAAAGCAGCACAAATCCATACTCACTCACTCACTGTAAAATGCATACACCAAAGCATACATAATACACAGATGGACCTATAAGTTTCCTATCTCGGATTATAATCCTAATTTGACAATGTCACATTTCAGTAGACATGGTTGTCATAGGTGAGGGGGCGTGGATGGGGGAGGGGGATACGTGCATCCTCCCTCGAACATCTTGTATCATCACTTTCATCACATCCTTAGGCTGTAGTGAGTCGGACAATGGACTCCAATGACTCTTATCATTATGGAAAGTTTTTTGTCTTTGTTGCATCATTTACAGTTGCACGGGAATCATCATTTCATCATTAATCACAAATTCCGCATGAAGTCTGTTTGGACCAACGATATTTGCATTGACATGTTTTCTGTAAAATCGTTAAATCAGATTATTTCTCTTGAAAAGGTGGGGCGGATGAGTATCCTGGTGATAAGAGCGTTCGCTCGTCACACCGAAGACTCGGGTTCGATTCCCGACATGGGTACAATGTGTGTCCCCCGCCGTGATATTGCTGAAAAATTGCTAAAAGCAGCACAAATCCATACTCACTCACTCACTGTAAAATGAACCATCTGGATTATTTGAGATCTACATCGAAAACAAAGTTAAGGACAATCCGATTCATTCATATTACTGTAGTGGCATGGCAGATTTACTATAGTCATATGAAAATATCGGGTGCTCCTTAACTTCTTTTGAGTTGTATGTACACGTATTACAACAAGAGGTAAACCAACTTTGTAGTAAATAGCTTCTGCGTGTACTTCCTAGTGAACGGCGGCTTCACACTGTGGACTCAGTGGACCAACCCACCGTGCGGCATCACCTGTGGAAGAAGTACTGAAATACGCACACGAATCAGAAGCTGCACCAACCCTGCCCCGAGCAATGGAGGGACACCCTGTACCGGTCCTATCATAGATATTTTATCAAAAAGCTGTGATTTCACTCCTTGTGTTGGTAAGTGATGTAAGAAGATATCTAACAAGAATATGCCAAACTGTTATAACATTAAATGACTAATCACAACATAAAGGGTATTGTTCGTATTGACAACTATGCAATGTTCCGTTTGACATGTAAATCAATTTACACTTTTAAGATCACATATCTTCGAACAGTGTGTATATCTTATGGCTATGGTAGAGACATGACTGTTGTCCAACAGTTTCAGTAAATGCTAGTTCTACCGAATTGAATCAATATAGAAATACGAAATATTTCCAGTCGCTGTCAACGGAGGATTCACCCAGTGGACCCAATGGACCACCCCTTCCTGTGGCATCACCTGTGGCTCCACCAATAGCCTTGTCAGGTCACGAACCAGAAGCTGCACCAACCCCTTTGCCAGTAATGGTGGACAACAATGCTTTGGAAATACTATTGAAACGTTGTCTCAGCCTTGTGTCTTTAGTGCCTGCCGAGGTAAACACCTATTTGTGTTAATGTGTGACACTGTGATAAGCTAGATTTTGAATGTATGATACGTGAACATCTAGGGATAGGGATCTAATAACATACTATTGCCAAACCTTGAGTCAAGGATAACACACAAGTAACTGTACATTGGTTATAAATACTGTACGAGCCAGCAAATTGGATTTGTAAGTATGTCCACTAATGAGTGCACTATCTGACTTAGAATACCGGAGAAAAGTAACAAATATTGCGTAATCAGGTACAGTCAGAAATCAAATACAGCACAAATATGCAGCACAAAACGTTCAAGCAGCACATTCGTAATACATGAAACTTCATGCTTCGATATCCGAGCTTAATTTAAACTAACCTGTATATTCGTACTCTACGTGCATTATAGTTATAGCCGGTACATTCGTAATGCATGTTCATGAGCTGAAAATTTGAAGATAAACTGTCCATTCGTAACAGATAATCTCAAGATAACAGATAACAGCTGTGTCTTAAAGAAAAATAGAATTCAGTTTTATCGTCATGTCTCTTTCATATTAGCCCCATTGAATGGTGGCCTGACCCAGTGGACCACGTGGACCAATCCCGGGTGTGGCATCACGTGTGGGGTGGGAGCCTCTGTCAGCAGAACAAGGGTCAGGACCTGCACCAACCCTGCTCCAGCTAACGGAGGACAAGTCTGCACTGGTCCTTTCGTTCAGGTTTTAGCCCAGACATGTTCATTCTCACCCTGTGCCGGTAAGATCCAAAGGATGATGTATTCTCGAATTCTTCTGTTGTTACTGGAGAAGATTCTCACACAAATCTTATAACTTGAAATATTGCAAGTTTAAGTATAATTGTGTGAAAGATGCATGCACCCAACAGGAAATGGAAGGTTTTTTTAATGCAAACTTTTATTATTGTAAATTCATTATAACAATTCGTTTGCTCTTTGTAAAGTTCTAGTGAAACGTCTTTTTTACGCCAGACATATATTTGTGCAACATTTGAAAAGAACATTTGATGTCTGAATGTATCCATGTCACATCAATTATAGCATTTAATCATGAATATGACTGTGTCCATCAAAAATATATTTGTGGCAGAGTCTAAAAAGAACATCTCGACTTACTAATGCAACACAAAATGTGATAATACATAACTATATTGGAGCTTTAAGTGTGACTTAAGCTGTGGATTTAGACAATATATATATGAAAAGTATATTTTTAAAATCACAACAATCATTTCCAGTCAATGGAGGTTTCACCCAGTGGAGTCAATGGACTAACCCTACCTGTGGCATCAGCTGTGGTTCCACTAACAGTGTTGTTAGGTCACGGTTCAGAAGCTGCACAAATCCTGTAGCCAGTAACGGAGGCCAATCCTGCACTGGAGATCGAGTTCAGACGTTGATTCAGACTTGTGTCTTTAGTCCCTGTCCAGGTGAGAGGTTGTTTAAATAGCACGGCGTGTGTTGGTGATTGTTGTTTCATGTGTTTACTTGTGTCTCTAGTCCCATACACTCGTTCGATTGTGGGTGTGCTATCTCTCTCTCTGCATGACGTCACTGACTTTTTCCCTGAGAAGTACACTGAGAGAAATACAGCTTACATAATTTATTGTAACTATAGAATACAGACATATTTTAATTCTAATGGTAGCTAGGACGTCCATAGCAAACCTGGAATGTTTAGTCAATAGATTAATACATATTCTTTCATTGTGCCAGTGAACGGTGGCCTCACACAATGGACCTTGTGGACCGAGCCTCCTTGTGGCATCAATTGTGGAACAAGAACCGATGTCCTGCGCACAAGAAGTAGAAGCTGCAGCAACCCTGCCCCGAGCAATGGTGGACTTGCCTGTAATGGGCCTTTTGTGGAGACTGCACAGAAATCCTGTGCTTTCTCCCCTTGTGTTGGTACGTTCAACGTTTCAAAGATAATTGAACCACTGGCGACAGTGTGTGGACTGGACTCTTTGTAAGATGTACTTTTCACCATCTTCACAACAGGGGGCACGATGGGTCCAGTCATCTAATGTGTCGTAACAATCTTGTCTAGAGACCAGAGAAACTGACTCATATGTTTTGTATTTATATCTATGCAAAAGATTCAGAGTGACAAAAAAGGGAAAGTTGACTATTTGAAGGTGGAAGTGATCCCTCTTGTCATACAGACCTGTGGCGAGTAGCAAAGTAATAGGCAACTTACACACTCACAATGTTTACAGTTAATGGTGGTTTGACTCAGTGGACTCAATGGACGAATCCTGCCTGTGGTATCACCTGTGGCTCCACCAACAGCCTTGTCAGGTCACGAACCAGAAGCTGCACCAACCCTGCTCCCAGTAACGGCGGACAACAATGCTTTGGAAATACAGTTGAAACGATCCTGAAGTCGTGCGTGTTGAGTGCATGTCCGGGTAAGTGCTTCTTATGATATGGCATCATGTGCCAGCACCGCTCACTTGTATCTCGTGTGCATTGCTAGTTACAAGACTCGGAGTAATGCTTATAGTGTGTGGGAGTACAATAGGTTTACGTTCTATACTGGTGCAATGATGTTAGATCATGTACATGCGCAGAAGTGTGGGTTGTCATTTGTTCATCCTGAGAGAGCAGTTAAAAAGGTAATTGTCACATATGTCTGAATTCCGTTAGTTTGTTGAGGACATTTGGTGGCTGGGGAGCTTGGGTGGAAAGATGGGGCGGTTGAGTAGCCTAGTGATAAGAGCATCTGGATTATTGAGTTTTCATAACAGATCTACAACGCAAAAGAAGTTTAGGACAACCCGATTCTTTCATATTACTGTAGAGGCATGACACATTAACTTTAGTCATATGAGAGTATCGGGTGTTCCTTAACGTCTTTTAAGTAGTATGTACATGTATAGCAGCGAAAATGTGAACTAACTTTGTAGTAAATTGCTTCTGCATGTACTTCCTAGTGAACGGTGGCTACACACTGTGGACTCAGTGGACCAACCCACCGTGCGGCATCACGTGCGGATCACGTACTGATGTCACACGTACAAGAACGAGGAGCTGCACCAACCCCGCCCCGAGCAATGGAGGACAGCCGTGCACCGGTCCTATACTGGATTCACAAACGACACAATGTTCGTTCTCTCCATGTCCAGGTAATGCTATTTGTTCTGTTTACAAAATATGTTTGCTCGCAAATACTTAGTGGGATAAATAAGCCGATGCACTTCCGCTTCTGAGAGTATTAGACAAGCGTGGTTAATAGTATTCCTATTTTCGTACACCAAAGACAAAGTATTTACACAAGATGATTCAGATACTATAACCATATATATAAAATTGGTACATTATACATATGCAGTTTACATGTAGTAAAGATTTTTTCCCATCCACGTTGACGTTTGCGAAATTCATTTCCCTTAAAAACATGATGCAATTTTATAATTTGATTAACAGTGAACTGTGGCCTCACACATGGACTTCCTCCTGTCGTATACATAGTGTAGAAGACTCAATTTGTTACTACACAATCATACGCATGTCTTTCAGTAAATGGTCGTCTCACCTAGGTGCAATCTGTGAGGCCTATTTCTGGTGCCCTCCACCGGGAAATAGCTGGAATATTGCTAAAAGCAGCGTGTATTAAACCCAAGCCTATTACGTTTGATTAACAGTGAACGGTGGCCTCACACTATGGACTCAGTGGACGGATGCTTCTTGTGGCATCACTTGTGGAACCAGAACTGACGTTGTACGTAGCCGCACCAGGAGCTGCACCAACCCTCCGCCCAGTAATGGAGGACAAGTCTGTACTGGAACGTTGATAGAGAATGTGCCAATAAGCTGTGTTTTCCCTGCCTGTGATAGTAAGAGGACCCTTATATATAATATAGGTTGAATCACTAGTACGATTACGGTTGATGAAAATGAAATAAGTTGGAGCCTGGGTTGCTTGACCAGTCGTTGCACACGCACCTGTTACAATGAAGATAGTCTTCCCTGCCTGTGAAGGGAGGTTGGCGGTTAGTAACATGTGGCAAGGCTCTTAAATACCCTTGTTAAACAAGTGGAATTGGGACAGCCTTTACATCACTGTTCACAAAGGGAGAAATCCTTGTTAAGTACTGAGCTTTTCATCTAGACAGGGTCGGCACAGGTGGCCAAGTCGTCTGAGGCGTCGCGATTCGCTGTGCAGAGGGGCGTCCCTTGGGCATGCCAGAAACCTGCCGGGATCCTTGTGGGATCGAATTCACTCACTCACTCATCTAGACAGACTGGTGTTGTCTTTCCTTGACACACTCCTGTCATATAATATGAAATCACGAGAATGTATGGATGTCAACTTCTATATTATCAGGAACACAACGTTTCAGAGTTGATGCTTTCTCCTTCATCAGGTGAATGGATGCGTGCCAGGATGTAGATGTAAATACAACAAAAGTGATGAGATTATATAAGTGGAAGACCCTTGAAGATCTGGGGTAGAATAGGTCTTCAGCAACCAATGCTCGCCTTAAAAGGCGACTATGCTTGTCATAAAAGGCGACTATGCTTGTCATAAAAGGCGACAAACGGGATCGGGTGGTCAGGCTCGCTGACTTGGTTGATGCATGTCATCGATCCCAATTGCGTACGACGTTCATGATGTCAGTCACTGGATTGTCTGGTCCAGACACGATTATTTACAGATATAGCTGGGATATTGTTGAATATGGCTTAAAGAAACAAGCAAAACAACCACCATAAGTGGAAACTTGACAACAATTGATAGGCGCTGATTGATGATTAGTTAGGGCGCTCCTGGCTTTAATTTGATAATTGGGGCGGTCAGGTAGCCCAGTGGTTAAGGCATTCGCTTGTAACCCCGAAGACACAGGTTTCATTCCCGACATGGGTGTAATGTTTGAAGCCCATTTCTGGTGTCCCACGCCGTTATATTGCTGGAATATTGCTAAAAAGCGGCATGAAACCATACTTACTCACTCACTCATTTGATAATCCATCAAATTGCCTGCTTATCACAAGTCAGCACGCATCAACTCTTGGTTTTCCTTGTCAAGATTCCATCTTTGTAATTTCACCACTATTGCCGTTTTTACATCTGCAGATATGTGCTCTCTGCACATATAGAAGTTGACATCCATAAATTCTTTCTACTATGTGTATCACTTCTAAATGCGTCCAAAGATTCGGAGCGGTCGGGTAGCCTAGTGGTTAAAGCCTTGGCTCGTCACGCCGAAGACCAGGGTTCGATTTCCTGACATGGGTACAATGTTTGAAGCCCATTTCTGGTGTCACCCGCCCTGATATTGCTGAAATATTGCTCAAAGTGGCGTAACACCATACTCACTCACTCACTCACTCCAAAAGCTTTCCTCCCACGTTAATCTAAAACAGTGATAGTACTAATCTACTGTTAAAAGAGATTGTAAAACATAAACCACTCACTCATTTAAAGCATGTCAGTCATAATATGAATCATTTTCAGCTCCAACAGTTTCAGTAAATGCTAGTTCTACCGAATGGAATCAATATAGAAATACGAAATATTTCCAGTCGCTGTCAACGGAGGATTCACCCAGTGGACCCAATGGACCACCCTTTCCTGTGGCATATCCTGTGGCTCCACCAACAGCCTTGTCAGGTCACGGAGCAGAAGCTGCACAAACCCTGTTCCTAGGTTTGGTGGACAACAATGCTTTGGGGATAGACTCCAGACTAATCTCCAACCGTGTGTTTTTAATCCCTGCCCAGGTGCGTGTCTCTTTTGTATATTCACAATGAAGGTGATTGTGTGTCATTTTGATTTTTTTAAATTTCTACAGAACAAAAAGAATAAAAAAAGGTGGTTAAAATTGTAAAAAAACATATCTGTATATTTCGAAACGTCTAATACGATTCGCAATTACATAACAATGATTAAAGAATGTTGCTTTCAGCAGAGAACGACAGTGTCAATCAACTTCAATGATGTTATTAATAGTGTATTTAAAGATTATGTTTTCATCATACCAGTGAACGGTGGCCTTACACAATGGACTCAATGGACCAATCCACCTTGTGTCATCACGTGTGGAATCAGAACCGATATTTCACGTACCCGCACCAGGAGCTGCTCCAACCCCGCCCCCAGCAATGGCGGCTTGCCCTGCAGTGGACCTCTCGTTGACGTGTTACCTCAAACCTGTTCCTTCACGCCTTGTCCCGGTAAACCTTCCATTTATCCAAATTGTTAAAGAGAATAGTGTTGTAGCGATACACATTGTTTCGATGCATTCTGCTGTATTCGAAATATTTACGTTAATGTCCATTTACACTGCTCCCAGTGGCTCCGTGGCAGTAAGCGGATAGAACATATTGATTGAAGGCAACAGAATTGTTCACCCATGCTGGCTGCTGGCTTAAAATGAATTCGACGGCCATGTATTTGATAAGGGTACCATTGTTATGTTTTTTTAATTGTATATTTGCTGTGTTTCGGCGACTGTTTCAGCAAATGTTTATAATTTTTGGGTCAATTGCAATTTTCAAGTGTACATTTTCTGTTGTCCCACAGTGTACGATCTTTTCTTGTCGTATATGTAGTATTTGTAACTGCACAATGGTAGTCTCACCTAGGTGCAGTGTGTGAGGCCTATTGCTGGTGCCCTCCACCGGGAAATAGCTGGAATATTGCTAAAAGCAGCGTGTATTAAACCCACACCACTTACGTCTGATTAACAGTGAACGGTGGCCTCACACTATGGACTCAGTGGACGGATGCTTCTTGTGGCATCACTTGTGGAACCAGAACTGATGTTGTACGTACCCGCACCAGGAGCTGCACCAATCCCCCGCCCAGCAATGGAGGACAAGTCTGTACTGGAACGTTGATAGAGAATGTGCCAATAAGCTGTGTTTTCCCTGCCTGTGATAGTAAGTACATCATTTATTATATTAAATGAATCTCTAGTATGATTATGAATATGTAATAAGTTCAAGCCTGCGTTACAAAGATTCACCAGTACTTCAGGACCCTGTTAAAACACTGATAAAACAAGCATGTAATTTTGGTTTGGTTTGTTGTTTAACGCTACACTTAGCAATATTCCAGCAAAATGACGGTGATAATTTAAAATTTTCTTCAATATTGTTTGCTTTTTGGTTTGGTTTGTTGTTTTACGTCACACTCAGCAATATTCATGCTATATGACGGCGGTCTGTAAATAATCGAGTCTGGACCAGACAATCCAGTGATTGACATCATGAGCATCGATCCACACAATTGGGATATGATGACATGCAGGAAAAGAAAGAATACACACGAAGTATTCCTTCAACGAATGGAATAGATGATTTTATGATTTATCACTTTGGCGTGTGGTTTCATCGGATATGTTTTGTTAAAATATGGATCCTGTCTTTCTCAGATAAATGGAGTACTCGTTAAGCTCAAATACTGATCAAAGAGTACTAAAACACAAGTTACTCACGTGTATACAACATATCAGTCAGAATATAAATGATTTTCAGCTCCGATAAATGGAGGATTCACCCAGTGGACTCAATGGACCACCCCTTCCTGTGGCATCACCTGTGGCTCCACCAACAGCATTGTCAGGTCACGAACCAGAAGCTGCACCAACCCTCTTCCTAGGTTTGGAGGACAGCAATGCATTGGAGAAACACTTGAAACTACGACACAGTTATGTGTCTTTAATCCTTGCCCAGGTGTGCAGCAATTCTTTAGGCTCTCGTTATTTATCATTAAAATAGAAGTCTGACTACTTAGCCATATCTAAGTTGTATGTAAGGCATTTTTGGCCCTTGCTATTGTAGAAGGCATAAAATTTCCGAGTCCTGTGATCCGATTCGATACACGGACCTTCTGATCCGAAGCCGGACGCCTTGTCCATATGACCAAAGGGGTTAACCCCTTCAGCAAGCTGACAAGGTAAGGATGTCATCTGTGGGATGACTCCACGGCCTGCTACACTATCTTGAAAAGATGGGTATTGTATTAAAATTACAGATAACACTTCTTTCTATGATATGCGCGTATCTAGTATGCATATGCAATAACGTTTGGAGCGATGAAAAGATTTTCTGTATTCAGATGATGAGAAATGGTAAATTATCTTGCTAGTGAACGGTGGCCTGACATTATGGTCTCAGTGGACGAATCCAGAGTGTGGAATCACTTGTGGAACGAGATCCAACGTGGTACGAACACGTACCAGGAGCTGTACCAACCCAGCCCCCAGCAACGGAGGGGTAGCATGCACTGGATTAATGGTGGAGAGTTTGCAGAAGAGCTGTGCTTTCGCCCCCTGTCCTGGTAATGAAGTTTTATTGATCTTCTCTGTAAAACATACACTGACGGTCAAAAAGAAGTATTCACTGGGAAATTGGATTTGACCAAAAAAATCAAAACGTTACTCGCCTGAAAACAGCGCAAATATAAGGTCAAAACACAACTATGATACCCGTATCAAATATATCAACATCGAATAACCGTTAGTTCCTGTTTGTCTATCATACATCCTTGCGTAATTTTATTTGACCAGCAGTTTATGATAGTTAAGGATAACAGATCACATTTCATAATAATTCATATTCATAATCCTTCAAAAGAAGTATTTTATTCGCTTTGGGATATGCATTCATATATGTTGCATTAAAAGAGCATGTATTGGTTTCAATCCTGTTTGTTAGATTTTAATCTAACTGGAACTTGCCATACGCGTGTCTTTTAGTAAATGGTGGCCTAACGGGTTGGAGTTTGTGGACGGATGCTTCTTGTGGCATCACTTGTGGAACCAGAACTGATGTTGTACGTAGTCGCACCAGGAGCTGCACCAACCCTGCTCCTAGCAATGGAGGACAAGTTTGCACAGGGACTTTAGTTGAGACAGTACCGATAAGCTGTGTGTTCCCTGCTTGTGATAGTAAGTAGATCCCAAGTGATATTTAAGAATTGTCTTCAATATTGTTTGCTTTTTGGTTTGTTTTTTTGTTTTACGCCGCACTCAGCAATATTCCTGCTATATGACGGCGGTCAGTAAATAATCAAGTCTAGACCAGACAATCCAGTGATTAATATCATGAGCATCGATCCACGCAATTACAATCGATGAGATGCATCAACCAAGTCAGCGAGCCTGACCACCCGATCCCGTTAGTCGCCTCTTACGACAAGCATGGTCGCCTTGGAAGACCTATTCTACATCGGATCGTCACGGGTATAATATTGTTTGCGTTTATGGTATAAGCCGGTGCGCAAGCTGTGTCTGTGTGTATGTGTGTGTGTGTGTGTGTGTGTGTGTGTGTGTGTGTGTGTGTGCGCGCGTGTGCGTGTGCGTGTGTGTGTGATGTTTACTACTTAAAAGAGGTTAAAGATTTAAAGATAAACCCAAAAAGGTTCAACCAATTGTCCATGACAGATTAACTATAGTCACATGAAAAAATCGGATCTTGTTCTTCCTTTGAGAAGCGGATATGGAGTTGGATATGGATATGGATATGCAGATATTGTATGCCACAACCATTGACAACGTTTCTATTGTTGTTTCATTTCTTTCCTCATCTCGTTCGATTCAGCCCCAATTAACGGAGGACTAACCCAGTGGACTCAATGGACTAACCCATCCTGTGGCATCACATGCGGCTCCACGTTCAGCGTGTTCAGGGCACGGACCAGAAGCTGCACCAACCCCACTCCAAGGTTCGGTGGGCAGCAGTGCTTTGGCGACACAGTCCAAACAGTGCCTAAACAATGTGTCTTCAATGCCTGCACGGGTAGGTGTTTGATAAATAGATTGTTAAATGATTGGTAACAACATTTCAACAGAGTATGAGCACCAACTCATCTGATTGTGATAAAACTGAGTGTCGTGGAACCGTAATGCATTTTACAAGGTCACCAGTTATAAGTTTACACTTATTAGTAACACAGACTTACTGTCACAGGTTAGACGTGTAGTTTTATGGGTCGCATACACCTTTGGTCGGAAGGGTGACAGTAGTTCAGTTACACCACATCGTGTCAGCTTCATGTCGGGGGAAAGCCTGAACTGATGCAGGTGCCCGCTGCTTCTGTCTTACATCTTTGTCAAAACATAGTTACGAGCCGTGACCAGGGAACCTATCTGCCTAGTGCTTGGGACTTACTGCATTAATCTTTGTCGGTGCCTATTACCTAACTGGCTTCCATTTGCCCATTGCTATTTCTATTCTTTTACTTGTCAGTGCTTATTAACCCCGGCCTCCCGTGTGCCCATTGTCCATTGTCAATTACCAATCAGTGATAATTAAGTCCTGGCTTCCAGCTGTCCATAACTATCAGCGCTAACTATTGTAAAGTGTTGGCTTTCACTCTGTATTGCTTATCACCTATCAGCGCCAGCTAACTGTTGGCTTCCCTTGTTAAGTTTCCACCTTTTGTATCTTATTACTTTTGTTGTCCTTACGTGTACATATATATGCGCTCTGCGTCATAGCATTCATTCAAACAAAAAGAAACCCCAGAACACGCACTCATACACTGCACCCACTACCTAACACACCGAACTACACTACAAACCACCCTAAATTTAAATAAGGCTCTTACTCTAGAAGCAATCCTAAACCCTCAAAATAAAATAGAAAAATTCAAAGCCTTAGGCGTATACTTAATCAAAACAGGACTAATAAATCGCATTTAAAACCCCAATAAACTACAAAAACCAACCCACATAATCAAACTAACAAACTTCCATACTCAGGTCCCTTAGTTCGCCCCCCAAACCCTTTTGGCATTTTTTCCAAATCTCAAAATTTCCAAAATTCTATATAAGCCACCACTAAAACACCCCTACTGGGTTGCCAAACAACTTTTCCCCCTTTTTCGGAAACACATTAAATGGCTTGGCCGGGCCCGTGTGCGAAATACGCTGCAGTCGGAAAGCGCACGTAAAATCTCCAATATAAGTAAGTAAGTAAGCATTCATTCACCTGATGAAGGAGTAAGCATATACTCCAAAACGTTGTGTTCCTCATAATAAAGACGTTGACATCCATAAATTCTCTTCATTATGGTTACGATCGTCTAAGCATTGAGGTCGCCTTGTGGAACGGCGTCCATGTTTTAGACGTTCATCCACAATGGTGCTGACTATCCAGAAACATCTTGGATTCGAACCCATGATCGTTTACATAACGAAGACTCTTTATGACCTCTGAAGTATTTCGAAACATTGTGTGTAGGCTTGTGTTTAGAAAACGTGTGGGGAGACAGAGAACTTATGTTATCCAATTATATCAGTTTGCCTATTAAGATACGTACTTTCTGAACAAACATACTATCCTATTTTAGTGAACGGCGGTCTCACAGCTTGGACCCAATGGACGGAACCAATTTGTGGCATCACTTGTGGAACAAGAAATGACGTCATACGTACACGCACCAGAAGCTGCACCAACCCTCCTGCCAGCAATGGTGGACAAACATGCACTGGTCCTTTTGTGGAGTTTTCGCAGAGAAACTGTGTTTTCGCACCATGTCTTGGTAAGACTTATTAAAGTATGCAACTATTAACATAGAATAATGTCTCTACATTAATGAACTGCAGCATTTAGAATTGGCGAATATTCTGCGAGCAACATTGTTTTCCGCATCATCTGCCCTTGGCGTGGGACCAGCAGCTTTCATTCGTGGCGAACAGACACTTTAAACCTATTGTTTAAGTGACGTAATCTATGACGTGGATATGACGTGCCATAGCCTGACATTTTAAACAATAAAGAAATGTTAAATTATTTTCTTAGGTCCAACCGCACCGGAGTCGACAATTGCTGAAATGCACATGTGCAAATATTGGAAACATTAATTTCGATTTTACTACCCCTCTGTATTATATTATGATATAGTTTTGATTTCGTGAAAGACGACTTTAACCCTCTTCAGCCCACTGCATCGTCTTACAGTTTTGTTATTATCATAATCTGAAACACTTAAAAAACGCAACAAAATGGCAACAAAATCAACTTAAGATATGCTGTGTATTTAGATATGTGGTAGCCAAACACAAAAAATGTCGCCGTTCGGGTTGGAATCTCATTCGTTGAGTTTCGATATTGATTTCAGCACAATACGCATCATGTGCGATGGTTGAAAACACGATGATGCGTTTTCATTGTGTGTCAGTATATTTCCATATAGACGTTGATGGTTGCTCTGTTTTCATTGTGTGTCAGTATATTTCCGTATAGACGTTGATGGTTGCTCTGTTTTCATTGTGTGTCAGTATATTTCCATAAAGACGTTGATGGTTGCTCTGTTTTGAAACACGATGTCTTATTTCCACATCGAATCACGACTTGAAGTAGACAACACAGCACTCTTAATGTGAAGGCTTTGTTTACACTGAGATGATTAATAGCATCCCTCTTTAAACCACCCTCAGTTGTAGTTAATGGCGGCTTTACCCAGTGGACACAATGGACCAATCCGTCGTGCGGCATCACGTGTGGAACTGGATCCAGCGTTGTGAAGATGAGGACAAGGGCGTGCTCAAACCCTCCACCCAGTAACGGAGGAACCTCTTGTGTTGGAGACAGGATACAAACATTGGCACAGCCTTGCTTCTTCTCACCATGTCTCGGTATTTACCTAAGAATATTCATTAAAAATCATCGAAAGTGGCATTTCTCAGGTGTGTGTGTGTGTGTGTGTGTGTGTGTGTGTGTGTGTGTGTGTGTGTGTGTGTGTGTGTGTGTGTGTGTGTGTGTGTGTGTGTGTTTAGGGGGGGTAGGTGTAGGGGGTTTGGGGAGGTAGGTATTGTTACTTTTGACAGATATTGTTGCTCAAGACTCAAGACTTGAAATAACACTTTTTTCGAACTAACACTACGTTTTCTTCAGGTCCAATCTCAAATCTACAAAAATATTTATTTGCTGTATTTGCTGCAACACAAACAAAACAATCTAGTAAAATATAGATCAATCATCAGCCTTGAAAATATACCACTCAACTTTTGATAGGGACAATCAGATATGTCATTCTATTTAAATACACACTTGACGTTCAGTCTTTTACGACCGCTTCAGATTAGCTCTATCTCGCAGGCGGCACACTTGACATGTTATGAGAATCGGTTTTCTATATCATTGAACGATAAGAATATAACGATCAAAAGTGGAATAGTACAGTTTCAATCCAGGACAGGAGATATTATCACAGCTAACTCATTTCAATTGAAAAATCAATTTGAATCTGATATTTTGTGCCTTGTAGTCAATGGAGGATTCACACTTTGGACTGAGTGGACCAATCCACCCTGTGGCATCAATTGTGGGACAGCATCCAGTGTGATCCGAACTCGAACAAGAACCTGCACCAACCCTGCACCCAGCAATGGCGGACAAAACTGCTTTGGCCTAACGGTTGAAGTGTTGCCTAAGACCTGTGTGTTCGAACCTTGTGGCGGTACGTCATACTCACACTTATGTCATAAGGGTTAGCGTTAGGGTTAGGGTTAGGGTAGGGTTAGGGTAAGGGGTGATTTAAACTCTTGTCCAGGAGGTATGTCATGCAGTGAAATAATTCAACTCTCTCAATTCTTCTGCAAATCTGGTGTGAAATAAAGGATGGTAAAGCATCCTTATTTACACTCTGCTCCTTGGTCTGTAGTACTTTGTTTCCATTTCCAGTTAATGGAGATTTTACTCAGTGGACCCAATGGACCAGCCCGTCGTGCGGCATCACCTGTGGCTCCACCAACAACCTTGTCAGGCAGCGAACAAGGAGCTGCAGAAACCCCGTTGCCAGTAATGGCGGACAACAGTGCTTTGGAAATACAATTGAAACGTTGTCTCAATCTTGTGTCTTCGCCCCCTGCCAAGGTAAGAATTTGAATGGGCGTGAATGGGTGTCATTATGGTATGCCAGATGTCGTTGAGACGTTGTTGAAGTCGCGTGTCGTCAGTGAGTGATTGTCAGGGATTGCTGGTGGTGTGCGCCATGTACAACAAATACTTCAGACATGAGTTTTATTGAGCTGCGTGTTGTGTTATATCTTCGATAAACACATCTCTGACCTTATATTTCCTACTGTGATTAATTCAACGAAAAGATACAAACATTCATGTGTTTTAAAATATTAATATATATTTTCAGATAAGTTAAAGATAGAACAACTCCAATAGTACTCTTCATCTTAGATGCGGTGTGACACAAATTGTAGACATTTAACTTCCGCTGTTTTAGCATCACAAACTAAACAACCATAACCCACTGGGTACAGTTTGTGTTTTGTTTGTTTGTTGCTTAACGCCGTACTCAGCAATACTCCAGCTATATGACGTCAGTCTGAAAAAAATAATCGAATCTGGACAAGACAATGCATTGATTGACAACTTGAGCATGGATCCACGCATTTGGGATACGATGACATTCATCAACCAATTCAGCGAGCCTGACCACCCGATCCCGTTAGTCGCCTCTTACGATAAGCATAGTCGCCTTTTATGACAAGCATGGGTTGCTGAAGACCTATTTGGTGAAACCCATGCGCACGGGTATGGTACTGACTAATCTTGAAACAATCGGGGAGAATCTGGTTTCGAATATTAGAGAAAGTTTCGATAGTTATGTTACTACTAACAAAGAAATAGCAATGTATTTATATGGAAACAGTGTACCATAGTTCTTGGTGATAGTAATTTGAACATTCAAATGAATGTTTACACATAACTACTGCTCATCACAGTTTAAAAAATTGCAATCTCACTTTAGTTCTGAAACGGGGGTACTAAAAGGTGACACCACCATTTAACGTGAACATTCCGAAAACGTTATCCTTTTCTATCAGTCAAAATTACGAACAGGTTTAAGAACTGGTGAAATCTGACAGCGAGACACCCTTTACCTCCATAGCATTGGACGACGTTCAGACAATATTTCAGACGGTAATCATCACATTGAGAGTAGTTCAAAACTACAGTATAATAGTTGTTAAGTTATATGCTAGAAAACAGGTTTTAAACAACATTTTTTTAAAAAAAGAATCAATGGTGCCAGGTGTTATGTAATTTATGCCACGTGTGTAAAGTGTGTGTAGTTAAAAAGAGCATTGTAAGCATTACGTCTTATCAATACAGTAAACTACGGTTATAACGAACACCGATATAACTGACCGATATAAAGAACTTATTTGCCATTCGTTATATATATGCTGTATATGTGCTTATTACGAACTACGGTCATAACGAACCTAAATTAGGAAGCCCTTTGAGTTGGTTATAACCGTAGTTTACTGTACTAATAAGGCGTTTTATATTGCGCCATACCTCCACACCACGAAGCGGGCTCCATAAAGATGAATTCAAAACACACTAGATATATATTCAGAATCACGAGAAAAATACGAGAATAAATAGTCACATATTTTATATCACTAAATACAAATCAATTAGTTTTTAATTGACAAAAAGGTGGAATAAAATATGAACTTTGGCATATTTTCAAATACGTTATGATCTTAATTTCATATTTTTCTCTCCTACGTCAAAAGTACGTTAACGTACGTAAAAATGAGACAAATCTTTTTATTTTCATTTTTTGCAACAGTTGTCAGAAACGGTGGCTTAACACTCTGGTCTCAATGGACCGATCCCCCTTGCGGCATCACATGCGGGACGGGAGACGTATCACGTTCAAGATTCAGGTCCTGCACAAGTCCGGTCCCCAGCGGGGGAGGACAAGACTGTTCTGGCACTTTAGTGGAGGTGATAGCAAAGAACTGTGTCCTCTCTCCCTGCGTTGGTAAGACATTCATTATATTGAAATAAATGCTTCACAAAAAGAAAACAAACACTGGCACGAATAAAATCCTACGGTTGAAGGAATGTGTTTTACGTTTTTAGAGATATTTCAGCAATGTGCCCAGCAACACCAGAATTAGGGCTTCACGCAAATGGGAACCGAACCAGAACCAGAGAATGACAAGCTCATGCATTAGCCACTACACCACCGGTCTGTGTTGTGGACGATCCAACTGATCATTAATCCAATGACCAGTTATAGAGTGAGGTTACGGTACAATACTTAAAAAATCAAAGCATTTTTTAATTATTATACTTTTCAATACCAATTTAAATTATATTCCAATGTTGACAGTTCCGGTAAATGGAGGACTTACCCAGTGGACGCAATGGACCAATCCTACTTGTACCATCACCTGTGGTTCCGCTAACAGCCTTGTCAGATCCAGGTCCAGAAGCTGCACAAACCCTGTTCCCAGTAATGGCGGTCAGTCATGTTCTGGAGACAGAGTACAAACATCGGCTCGACCATGCATCTTTAATTCTTGTCCAGGTGAGCGTTTTTTGTGAAACGTGGTCCAGTTGTAGAGCTGAAAGTCCTGGGTTCGAACCCCGCCCGCGTCATACTAAAATACTCTAAAAGATGGAACTTGTTGTTACCCTGCCTGGCGTTCTGCATTAAGGGGCTAAAACAAGGACTGGTCGGATCGGAGTCAGTATAATGTGTCTGAGTAGGGTATTCATGTTAAACTGCGGCAGGGTATCTCAGTGGGTTAGCACCATAAATCGGCATCAGTTCGGACTAGTCCAAGCAGCCACACACACACGTGCATGCGCGCCGCTATATGTGCAATAATCATGGACGCGACGTTAAACCCCATTTCACCTCATTGTCTAGTGGACGGTGGCCTGACCCACAAGTATACACAGAACGTTTCTAAGCAAGCAGTATGTTTGTCATTGTCTAGTGGACGGTGGCCTAACCCACAATTATACACAGACCGTTTCTAAGCAAGCAGCATGTTTGGCATTGTCTAGTGGACGGTGGCCTGGCCCACAATTATACACAGAACGTTTCTAAGCAAGCAGTATGTTTGTCATTGTCTAGTGGACGGTGGCCTGGCCCACAATTATACACAGAACGTTTCTAAGCAAGCAGTATGTTTGTCATTGTCTAGTGGATGGTGGCCTGACCCATAATTATATTCAGAACGTTTCTAAGCAAGCAGCATATTTGTCATTGTCTAGTGGACGGTGGCCTGGCCCACAATTATACACAGAACGTTTCTAAGCAAGCAGTATGTTTGTCATTGTCTAGTGGACGGTGGCCTGGCCCACAATTATACACAGAACGTTTCTAAGCAAGCAGTATGTTTGTCATTGTCTAGTGGACGGTGGCCTGACCCACAATTATACACAGAACGTTTCTAAGCAAGCAGCATGTTTGTCATTGTCTAGTGGGCGGTGGCCTGACCCAAAATTATACACAGAACGTTTCTAAGCAAGCAGCATGTTTGACATTGTCTAGTGGACGGTGGCTTGACGTTCTGGACACAGTGGACTAATCCACCTTGCGGCATCAGTTGTGGAACAAGAACTGACTTGACACGAACACGGACCAGGAGCTGCACCAACCCTCCTCCCAGCAATGGTGGACAAGGCTGCACTGGTCCGTTCCTGGATGTAACACAGCAAATCTGTTCCTTCTCCGCTTGTGTTGGTAAGTAGCGTCTACCGCACCTTGCCCCGTGGGGAGTCAAGAATTGAATTGGTCCTGAGAAACCTGTGCTTGTTGGAAGACCCTCTTAATGAATCAGGTGGTCAGTGTCTTGGTAGATTGCCATCGCAATGTTACACTGTTTGACATTGCACATTATATCAACCACTGGTTTGTTTGACCTAGACACGATTATTTGCGTGAAGCTACTGCGGTGTAAAACAATATATAGCAAACCTTTCAAAAGTAGCTTTTAATATAAATAGTTGTAAATATGAAACTGCTACTGCGGTGTAAGACAATATTTAGGAAACATTTGAAAAGAAGCGTTGTATATAAATACAATAAACTACGTTTATAACACACGTGCTTATAACGAACTAACGGATATAACGAACTTATTTTTAGTCCCGGTCATTTGCTGTATATATGCTGTATATATGCTCATAACAACCTAAAATTAGTGGTCCCTTTGAGTTCGTTTTAACCGTAGTTTACTGTATTTGTAAATTGAAACATTCAATGTCTCCATATTTATTACTTACCAACCAAAATAATTATATATCCAGTGAATGGCGCTTATACCGAATGGACTCAATGGACTGCACCTTCCTGTGGCATCACCTGTGGCTCCACCAACAGCCGTGTCAGGTCACGAACCAGAAGCTGCACCAACCCTGCTCCCAGTAACGGCGGACAACAATGCTTCGGTAACACGCTTGAAACATCGAGTACCCAGTGTGTCTTCAGTGCTTGTCCAGGTGTGTATTTGTTGAGGTATTGCTCATATTATGTAAAACATTTGCTTCAGATGCTTCATAGTGCTTCGGGGGAGGTCGGGCAGTCTTGTGGTTAAAGCGCTCGCTCGTCACGCCGAAGACCCGGGTTCGATTCCCGACATGGGTAGGATGTGTGAATTCCATTTTTTGGGTCCTCCGCCGTGATATTACTGGAATATTGCTAAAAGCTGCGTAACACCATACTCACTCACTCATAGTGTTTCATGGCATTTGACAGAACTTACCATACACATGAGCCACCGTGAAAATCCGGGTTAGAATTGGTCTTCATCAACCCATGCTTGTTGTAAAAGGTGACTTTTGGGATGGGTGGCCCGGGTCGCTGACTTGGTTGATCCCAAGTGCGTAGATTGATGCTGGTGTGCCAAAATCAGCAACATGTGGTTCATAATCTGTAACACCGACTGTGACAGTGTGGAGTTCAATTGTTTGATAGGCATTACTTAGAAGTTGGCGGGTGACAAAGTAGACAATTTATGGATAACAACTTCTTTAATATACTATCACAGCAATGTTTCGGATAGACCTGTATACCCAAGCAAGTCTCAAGTAGACACAATATATGGATATAACTTTCTTTAATATACCACCACAGCGAGATGTTTCAAGCAAGACAGGATAATGTGAGCATGTTATTTATCTTTGTCCCCAGTGGATGGTGGCCTGACCCTCTGGACCGAGTGGACCAACCCCCCTTGCAGCAGCGCGTGTGTGATTCGGACTCGAACCAGGAGCTGCACCAACCCACCTCCCAGCAATGGCGGTCTGAACTGTACTGGAGCTCTGCTGGGGGTAGTGAAGAAGACATGTGATAACGTCCCTTGTCTCGGTACGGACAACCTATTGTATATGCTCAGTTTCTAGGAACAACGTGCAACCTTCTGCATTGTTAGGATTATATCATTATTTTGTAAGAAAGTTCTCTAGTTTCAGCATTGATGACCTATTGAACGTTTCATGTTCATTTAATGTTCAAATTTGTGATTGTGTTAGATTACACGGAAGGGTATATATCAATTATGTTTATTACTCGCCCGTTGCAGATACCATTGTTTAATAACATCAAGCTGTTATTACATTAGTGTTTAATACCACGTTGCGTGCTTATGTACCGCTGGGCCTAGTGTCACTAACAAATGTTTGAGCACCATTAGCTATCATCAACCTGTATGGTCCGAATGTTGACGACCCTACCTTTTACAACGATCTTGAAACAGCGATAAAATCACTAAATAGCGATCATATAATTATCTTTGGGGATTGGAATATAGTTTAAAATTATTACTTTGACACCTTCAATTATAAACTCAATAATAATCCAAAGGCGAGAGATAGAATAATGAAATTAAAAGATGAAATTGACTTAGTTGACCCTTGGCGAGAGAGATACCCGAATGAAAAAAGATACACCTGGCGCCAACCATCTCCATTGAAGCAAGCTAGACTTGATTACTTTCTTGTGTCGAATATACTCATATCTAAGATTAATCAGTTAACCGAGGACATGGATGCGACTAACGACATTGAAGCCAAATCTGAGATACTAAAGGAAATTGATACAATAAATGTAAAATTAGAATATATTAATAAGATCAAAACGCAAGGGCTTATGATAAGGGCAAAAGTAAACGCAGACGAAAAGGGGGAAAAACCAACCAAATATTTCTTATTGTTAGAGTCTAGAAATTTCCTAAATAAATCTTTCTCTTGTCTGCAAAACGAGTATGGAGATGTTTTTACAAATCAGCAGGAAATTCAAGAAGAAATTAGAAAATTCTATTCCAAACTATCATACGAAAAATGATGTTAGTAATGTTGATCTTGAACATTTATTGAAGGATTGTAAAGTGCCTAAGCTGGATAAAACCTTATCATCATCGCTAGAAGGCAAACTTGAATATGAAGAACTACTGAAGTGTTTGAAAAATGATAAAAGCCCCGGTTCCGATGGTTTTACTGCTGAATTTCTTTAAAAGATTTGGTCAGATATCAACAACTTTTTAATCCGATCTATAAATCAATCATATGATAAAGGTGAATTGTCCTTAACTCTAAAAAGGGGACTTATTACTTGCATTCCAAAAGGTAACAAACCAAATATGTTTTTGAAAAACTGGAGATCTATCTCACTTTTTTCAGTTTTTTACAAAATAGCTTCTCTTGCTATTTCCAAAAGAATTAAATCTGTGCTCCATATATTAATTAGCGACGACCAAAAAGGCTTTATGTCTGGTAGGTGTTAGAATAGGTCTTCAGCAATCCATGCTTGTCATGAGTGGCGACTATGCTTGTCGTAAGATGGCTATCGGGATCGGGTGGTCAGACTCGCTGGCTTGGTTAATGCATGTCATCGTATCCAAAACTCGCGTTGACCGATGCTCGTGATATCACTCACTGGATTGTCTGGTCCCGATTCGATTATTTTCAGACCAACCGCCGTCATATAGCTGGGATAATGCTGAGTGCAGCGTTAAAAAACAATAAAACCCAACAAATTTAACCTTATGGAAAATCGTTTTTTGATGTTTTGTCTCTTCCTATAGCCTTCAACCTGCTTTTTCAGTGAAGAGAGTATACATTAAGCAAGGATGCGTCGTTATCATCTTACACATGTTCAGTTCCAGTGAATGGCAGTTTCACGCAATGGACGGAGTGGACAGGACCTCCGTGTAGCGTCACGTGCGGAGCCGGGCCGAGCGTGGTCAGAAGGAGGTCACGGTCGTGTACAAACCCCCCTCCAAGTAACGGGGGCAACGGCTGTTTCGGGGATGTCTTGCAGACAATATCAACACCTTGCAGCTTCCCAGAATGTGGAGGTATGGACTTCCACTGTTTTAGGAGACTGTGCTCCATCTATCTATTATCTATTATTGCATGCATGTATGTAAAGACGCATTTCATAAGTGGATTAGTATCTATTATTTCATGCATGTATGTTTAGACGCATTTGATAAGTGGATAGGTATCTATCATTGCATGTATGTATGTTAAGACGCATTTGATAAGTGGATAAGTATCTATTATTGCAAACATGTATGTTAAGACGAATTTGATAAGTGGATAATTATATTTTATTGCATGCATGTATGATAGAACTTATTGGCTCTTCAACAGGGCTCTGTACGTCAGTAACGTATCGAGACGGCATTGGCTACCGCTACCACCCTACTGACTGCGACAAGTACATCCAGTGCTACAACAACCCCAATGGCAACGTTGTTGCTATGTACAGGAGATGTCCGTTTGGTAAATTCTGGAACCAAGTCACATTCCAATGTGACGATTCCTGGAGGGTTGTGTGTCCACACGGTAAGCAAGCGTATTCTCAAATCTTAAAGCAGGTCAGTTGAAAGCATACAGTCCAGTACCACGGTGAGACTTCCCTGGGACAGAGTCTCAAGCATAGAAAGAAAGGCATATGTTTAACATATCAGTTCTCATGTCTATCAAGACGTTCAAGCAACCTAAAAGTGTCAGAAAGCATTCATTGATTTCTATGAGGTGGTTGGAGGGTTTTCTAATGAATAGTTTGTTCAGAAATACGCACAAAATGATTACTTTGTTGGCAATGGTGAAACAATTATTATTGTGTTAATAGTGCAAATGAATAGGTTGTTTGATGGTGCTCAGAAAATATATAGTTTGTTGGATTCAGCTCGGCAATTTATTTTTTATTTCAAATAAATCCCCCACACCGCAATACAAGGATGCTCCCTTAGTGTTACACTAACAGATAACAAGAAAGTCACTCAGAAATTTGTTGTTTAAAGCCGCCCTCGGCACTATTCCAGCTATATGACGGTGGTCCGTAAATAATCGGGTCTGGACCAGACAATCAAGTGACTGATGTAATGAACATCGATATACGCGGCTGGGGTACGATGACATGCATCAACCAAGTCAACGACCACCCGATCCTGTTAGTCGCCTCTTACGACAAGCATAGTCGCCCTTTACAGCAAGCATGTGTTCCTGAAAACCTTTTCTTACCCGCATTTTTACGGGGCCAATCCAGAGCGTAACTCTGTGCTTTGATCAGTTAAATCTCGTCCCATTGTTATGACTGTTTGGAAAGATCCCCTTGACAAGGATAAGGGCGACAGCACCACATGTTAAGCACAGTATTGTAACACAAGCACATTCTCTCCACAGACAAGTGCAAGGACAACAGCACTGCGACCTTCAACCTTCTGGGCAGCTGCCGTGCATACTGGGAGTGTGACACTAACTTCGTGGCAGTGCCCAAGTGTTGCGGCGTGGGATACAGCTATGTGCATCGCGAGGGATGCAAGCCTAACCTCTTCTGTCGGGATCTGTGTCCCACTGCATGTGAAGACAGAGGTTAGTAGGTTTGCACTCGTATGTCAGTGGTTAGGTATGAGAGTCAGCGAGAGAACGATAGACGGTGAGACAGACCGATAGAGAGAAAGCGAGAGAACGAGAGACGTGAGACAGACCGATAGAGAGAGACCAAGAGATCGAGAAAACGGTGATACAGACCGACAGAGAGAAGGCGAGAGAACGATAGACGGTGAGACAGACCGATAGAGAGAGAGAGAACAAGAGACGGTGAGACAGACTGGTAGAGAGAAAGCGAGAGAACGAGAGACGGTGAGACAGACCGATAGAGAGAAGGCGAGAGAACAAGAGACGGTGAGACAGACCGAGAGAGAGAAAGTAAGAGACGGTGAGACAGAACGAGAGAGAGAGAGAGAGATAGAGAGAGAGAGCGAGAGAACAAGAGACGGTGAAACAGACCTAGAGAGAGAAGGCGGGAGATCGAGAGAATGGTGAGACAGACCGATAGAGAGAAAGCGAGAGAACAAGAGACGATGAGACAGAACGAGAGAGAGAGAGAGAGACAGAGAGAGAGAACGAGAGACGGTGAGACAGACCGAGAGAGAGAGAGAACAAGAGACCGTGAGACAGACCGATAGAGAGAAGGCGAGAGAACGAGAGACGGTAAACAGACCGATAGAGAGAAGGCGAGAGAACGAGTTGGAGACAAACAGACAGACAAACCATACTTAACAACACGATGCAACAACTCGCATAAATTTCGGCGACCCTTTTATCTGTTTTCAAGTCTATTTCATGTGTGTTCATGCGTTGTCATTTGTGTTGTGTTTCAGATCTCTGCGACAAGCGGCCCGACTGGAACGCCAACCCAGCCACGTACAACATGTCTGTCGGCATTCTCGGCTGGGTACCCACCTCATGTGCTGCCGGAACTCAGTTCGACATCACCAACTGTGGCTGCAGTGCTCTCAACCAATGTAACATAGCTTTCTATCGTTATTAATACCATCAACAGTTCTATTGTTGGCAACAAAATACGTTACAATGACTAAAGGGACATAATATACCTATATATGCATGTATTAATTTGGTAATGCTACATTTGGAACTATTGAAATACTAAAATATGTGTTCTTGCTACCTTGCTAGATACAATAGCCTGTGTAGATTGCAAGCACCTGTTTATTGGTGAGATTCGAAATGAGACACCAGTCTGCGCTGCATTCGTTATCCTTAAAGGCGCCCTGTCGCTGTTCTTGCATCACACGCCTCCATCCACTAGCTATTCACTGTGTTCACTAGTAACGTCTTCGTTTCTGACAGTCTGTATGACCCCCAACACTAAAGTATTCACTATGTTCACTAGTAACGTCTTTGTTTCTGACAGTCTGTTCGGCCTCCAACGCTGTCACCTTCACCGCGGGAAGTAGCTTAACGTCAGCCCTAGCATCATGGCTTGAACTCTCTAATGTCGAGGTTTCCAACGGAATCGCCAACTTCAACGGCAGCAGTCGGCTTGTAGCCACAGTCACCATGCCAACTGCGTCAACCGCTAACCCTTTGATCATCCGCTTCCGGTATCGTGAATCTGGCGCTGTGTTCGGACGTCGAGTGCTGGTCAGCACAAGTGACTGTAAGAATGGCAGCAGCCTGGTCATTGCTGTGGACAGTTACACCATGACCTTTGAACTGACGTCTTGGTATAACTGGGCAGTCACGTTACCTGTGTCCATGGCGGTAGGTCATTCAAAACTATAAATGTTCAATGTTTCATCCACCCTCAATGTCTCAAGGACTCGCATTTCGGTAAACCTACACTGACCCCTGGATGCACTCCAATGCCCTTGTTTCTCATTCACATTTTAGACTCGTGAAGACCCGGGGTAGAAAAGGTCTTCAGTGACCCATGCTTGCCGTAAAAGGCGTCTAACGGGTTCCGGCGGTCAGACTCGCTGACTTGGTTCATGCATGTCATCGTATCCCAATTGCGCAAAACGATGATAATGATGTCAATCACTGGATTGTCTAGTCCAGACTCGATTACAGACCGCCGTCATATAGCTGTAATATTGCTGAGAGCGGCGTTAAACAAACAAACAAACAAACAAACTTACACTAACATTTAACCGAGCAATCAAACGTCGAGATGAGTAAAATTGGTAAGGGAGGCCTTGCTTCCGTCATTTATAATGGACGAGAACATATCCTTTCAATTAAAAGCATTTTTCAGAGCTTTCAATTTGTGTCAGTCAGTTTTTCAATGTTGAATTTCTCACAATCTGTCGTAATCGATGGGACTGGCCGCCATGTTATTGAAATCGTCAACGGAACATTGACGCTGGTTTGTAACTCGCATTCTGATTGGTCCGTTTGACAAAGTAGCGTTGTAAATCAAATTGGTTTTCCACTTACACGTCTAAGACACTCTTAAATGTTACATGAGGGTGAATGCTTGTCTGAGTTTGTCTGGGTTTTGTGTGTACCCTAACCATACCTTAAGGAACAGAAAAACATAAAGTTTGTTTATTCCGTACAATGTCCAGGTTTTCGACCATTTCTCCTTGTCTATGATACTGACTCTCTACTGTAGGGCTTCTCCCGTGACGACTGGAAGACGGTGACATTTTCGTACGCGGGCTATGACATGTTGGCTGTAGTGGAGAGTGCCACGCTGAAGTATGCTGCCAAGGTTCATGGTGAGTAGCCAGTAGCTAATCACATCAACGGGATTGGAATGAGTGAGTGAGTGAGTGGGGTTTAACGCCGCTTTGTAAGCTTAATGTAGGAGGAACAACGGGATTGAAATTACTTTCTCCTGAAAAGTGAGTGAGTGAGTTAGGATTAACGCTGTTTTTAACAGCATTCAAATTATCTTGGCGTGTCCGCTTAATGTTGGAGTGAGCCTGAAGTGATGCGGTCTCAGATGTTTAGCACTTTGGTGAAACCCAAGAGCACGAGTATTGTGCTGACAAACCCAAAAATATAATCAGGGGGAATTGGGTTTCGAATCCGAGATTTTTGGTGTGCCCAAGGGAGGCAACGCTGCACAGCGATTTGCGGCGCCTGAGACCATTGGACCACCCGTACCAACCTCTTGTTGTTTTACGCCGCACTCAGCAATATTACAGCTATAACGTCGGTCTGGACCAGACAATCCAGTGATTCACATGTTTGGAGCACGAAATTGGGATCGATGACAAGCATCAACCAAGTCAGCGAGCCTGACCACCCCATCCCGTTAGTTACGACAAGCATAGTCGCCTTTTACGGCAAGCATGGGTGGCTGAAGACCTATTCTACCCCGGATCTTCACGGGTTCCCCCCTCTGGTGAAAAGGATTTGACTTACAATCGTATGAGAAAATATGCGAGGAAGGATAGACGTGTAGGGTTGTATAAATGCTTTAATGTGGTGATCCACGAGGGGTGAGGTGGACTGGTTGTCCCCTTGGAGATAACAGTGTCGCACGAAAAGACTTGACATAATTCTGACAATAGAGGAAACGTGTCAAATGAGGCATATATTGTTGACTTCAGTCGATTATCATTGAGAGATTTGTTTTGTTTGTTTCCTGTTTTACGCCGCACGTCGATCTGTAAATAATCGAGTCTGGACCAGACAATCCATTGATTGACACCATGAGCATCTGTTTACATTATTGGGCTATGATGACATGCATCAACCAAGTCTGCGAGCCTGACCACCTGGTCACGTTAGTCGCCTCTTACGACAAGCATGGGTTGCTGAAGATCAGTTCTAAGCCGAATTTCCAAGGGGTCACCGAGAGCTTATGCCAATAGTGTACTTATATCTTAACATCAACAACATCGGTCAAAAGCTGTCGCATTGTTATCTGATTAAATTATGATGCAACACTGGAATAAAGCAAAATGACATAAACATAAAGATTTTTTTTTTATTTCAGCGCCACAGTCAACCATTATGCAGTGTGGCCTGACATTCGGAACAGACTCCAAGAACGATGCTACCAACAACTTCATTGGGCAGCTTGATCAGGTATATATTTCATGTGTGGTATATCAGGAATATATCCTCTCTATGCAACAATAAAGGAAATAATGTATTTCATGTGTGGCGTATTGGTCAATAATATAGCCTTTCTATTTGACACTACACGAAAAACTGTATTTCCCCATTTGGAAATGAACACTTATTAGGCATACATTCCAGGACAATGTTCAGATGTCGATTTTTTTAATTGGATTTGATTGTTATGAACTGTGTTGCCCAGGCCTTGTGTGCATGGTGTGAAAGGTTGTGTTTTAGTTGGAAAAAGATTAGAATGTAAACACATTTGTTAAGTCAAACTGGTGCTTGAAACATTCAATTTCTGTATTTCGTAATGACTATGTCATGTTGTGAACATAAGCAATTTCTCTCGATTTAATAACTGTCTAATTTATATATTTTTCTATGGGAATATAAAGTAAACGATGCTTGTGTTCCGGGTGTATGTCTGAGCCATAACCGAAGTTCCCTAAAATAAATGTGTGCTGTTTCAGTTATCGCTGTACCAGTGTGACCCAGGCAACCTGTATTAATGGATGCTACGGTGGGGGAAACACACGACAATCAACAGACTGTGACGTCACATTCAACCTGAGACCAAATACGCAATCAAATCAGACACAGCCGTCACTCATATAGAAGACCTCTGTGTCTGTTTATAACTTCCCCTAATTTTAAAAGCGGCGTTAAACCTAACTCACTCACTCACTTATAACTTGCCAAAGAGATGGAAGAAAATAAAAGAAATGAAAGAGACACGTACATGACATTACAACCTGTCTACGATATAATTTTGACAAGATTCATTCCGAAAATACAACTTGATCTTCTGTCAATGTATAATTAAACTGCCCGGCAAAGAAATATACACCCATGTTTGATGGTGACAAAGAAATAAACAAACAATCTGTGGAAATACATCTGGCTGGTGGGTGGACCTGCATAATCATCATCTGACAATGTTTGTTTTGTTTGTTTGTTGTTTAGTGTGAACTCAGCAATATTCAGCAATATGACTACGGTCTGCAAATACTCGAAGTCTGGATCAGACAATCCAGTGATTGACATCATGAGCATCGATCCACGCAATTGCGATCGATGACATGCATCAACCAAGTCAGCGAGCCTGACCACCCAATCCCGTTAGTCGCCTCTTACGACAAGCATAATCGTCTGTTACGGCAAGCATGGGTTGCTGAAGACCTTTTCTACCCCGATCGTCACGGGTCGTTTCAGTAACGGTATTGATTTCTTGGTTATGTCCAATATCCGAGTGTATCCTTTCCTCCGCCCGGCAGTTTAGTATCGGAAACTCTGCTGATATAAAATGTATCACATGCAACGCCACACTGCTCAAATGTTTGATTGGGTTAGTTATTAGGTAATGTTTATGAGAGAGGGAAAGCGATTTCCATGCACAGAATTAAAGAATGACATTATATGATAAAGAGGTTATCTCGCTTGTGTGTTTGGGGAGGGCAAATATCCTGCATTAGGAATTAACATTGTATTTAGCGAGCCTATATTACCTATATACTGTATACCGAAACTTATCTTGACAGTCTGCCAATATTATAGTACATACAATTAGTTCTCACTCATCTTATAAAGGTTGTTAATGTGGTCGTTGTAAAGTGTATCATATTTTGTTACAAAAATAAAGCTTTTAACACTGTTCACTGTATATGCCAATTGTTGTTGAACTGTATTCAAATAAATAATATTTTCGTAATTTCCATGAAATTGTTGGTTTAATTATTCATATCATAGTCATTGGTGATAGATCCTGGCCTGCTGGTGTGTATGCGACGGTAGCCTCATGTTCATCTTGCTCAAACGTTGTTGCACCATGCCAGGTCTACATCTAGCTTTCAAAATGTCATGGTACGAGGGTGGCTGAAAAGTTCTGAACCCAATTACGTTCGTATGTATTAAGTACAATACCTCCAATGCTTACAGGCTGCATTTGAACGAAATACACAACCAGGCAGCATATTTCTGTTTCTGCAAACTATTCTCTGTTGATAAAAAAACAACAAAATTTGCGACCGTGCTGTTGTGAATGATATATTTCCAATGGAACAAGCAAACGGGAACAGCCAGCCATGGGGATGTGTCAGCTTTAGGGGTGGATTGTCCTTTCTTTGCCACTGTTGAGAGGTAGGCTGTGGACTTCAAGAGGGGAAGAGAGGTCTTTAAAGATGATCCAACACCAAGGTGACCTTCAACTTCCACCGCTAAGGAAATATTGAAAAATACAATTGATGCGGACAATCAAAGCCTCGGCACAAGTCACAGCCAATGCAGTAGTGATCTCTCATGGGAGAATTGAGAACATTCTGGGAAATGAACTGGGCATGACAAAAGTTTCAGCACGTTAGGGGTTTCGGCTCCTGGTCAGAACACTTCACGTTTATCGTATCTGTCATGAGCATTTACGTCGTGTTGATGCAGATCCAGCATAATTTGGTCGGAATCTGAAGAGTCAAAGCAGAGGAAACATCAAACGCCTCGTCCAAAGAAGGAAATTTGTTTCAAAGCACTGGATCGCCGTCATGTAGCTGGAATATTGCTGAGTGCGGCGTTAAACAACAAACAAATTCAAAGTATAGGAAATATACAATCTCAGACTTATGTCTTTTGATATCAAATATATCAACACTCGTTGATAAAAGTGAAAAACATCCAACGTCATTCTTCAAACTTTTTCAGTTTGTAGATAGAATATCTCAACCGAGTGCTTTTGAGTTTTGACGAGTTGATAAAAGCGGAAAGCCAGTGGGAGCCAGTTTTGGATGATAAAACATCAAAGATCTCCAAAGTCTGTTTGTTTGTTTGTTTGTTGTTTAAAGCCGCCCTCGGCACTATTCCAACTATATGACGGCGGTCTGTAAATAATCGAGTCTGGTCCAGACAATCCAGTGATTAATACCATGAGCATCGATCCATGCAATTGGGATCGATGATATGCATCAACCAAGTCAGCGAGTCTGACCACCCGATCCCGTTAGTCGCCTCTTACGACAAGCATGGGTTGCTGCAGACCAATTCTAACCCGGAATCTTCACGCCAGTATTAAGTCTTGACAAGGAAACCAAGGGTTGATGTAATGAGAACTGCCATATGACGCTGGATACAATGACCTGCTATCAATCAAGTCACCAAACCTGACAGTCCCATGCAATTTAGTGCCTATCAACGAAACAATACAACTATTATGAGGTATGAGGTGTGTGTGTGTGTGTGTGTGTGCGTGTGTGCGTGTGTGTGTTTGCGTGCACATATGCTTGATTGCATACATGCATGCGTGCTTGTGTTGTTTAACTCTTCACTCATCAATAAGACAGATATATGATGACAGCCAAAAAATTCAACCAGACAATCCTGTGATTGCTATTGTGAATGACGATCCTCACAGTTGGGGTATGATGACATGCCAAGTCTCTGATCCCTGAAGTTGCCTCTTAAGACCCGCATAGGAAGCAGGGGACCAATTCTAACGCGAATCCTCACCATTTAGTAGCCTCTCACAACAAGCAATGGCTTGGACTACCCGGGTGATATCAAGTAAGCTCTCGTCTGATGTGTCAAGGAAAAAACACAGTTTAATTATTGCAACTCGCTGTTTCAATCGACGAAAGAATGAATAAACTGTCATGTCAGTTCTTATTGACATTTTTAGATAATTTTGAGTTTTGTTGGGGAAAATGAGGGTGAAAGCAGATTAAATTGTTGAAAGTTAGATTTTCAGTCGGCTGAAAGAATGTTGATGCGATAGCTATGTTTGTTTCTTTGTTGATTAATGCTGCACTCAGCAATATTCCAGCTATATGACGGAGATCTGATCGCGATAGCTATAATAACAGTGAACTATGCGAGAATATCATGGATGTAAGTAAGCTTTGGTAGAAAAAGGGACAGTATGTCGACGGTTTTGTGTTTTTAAGTCATGCAAGAAACAATTTCCGAGCATGACCTCAAATGCTCGATTCACTTTATCAAACCAAAAAATAGAGCTCCATACACGGACATATTGAAGAGAAACCTTTTGTGTTTTTCTTAATGCCCCATTTCACTACGATCATGAATATCCCGAATCGTCCGGAATCAGAAACTTTCAAATTTTGTGATGATTCGGGCAATAATGCAAACTTTTGTGTCTAATCGGGTTGAAAAATATGAAGAAGGCCAGGAATCGGTTAAGAAACATGTACGAATTACAAGATTTATGTACGGATCATGCACAAATTGTAAGAATCATCTATGAGTAAGTTACGAATATGCCGAATGTTGTTCTTTCTTAATTCTTACATGATTCGCAGTTGACTCTGGACATTCGTGGCTGTTTTGGGATGTTTTCAGGTCAAGAACAAGAAATTTGGGGAACGAATCGCTAAGTATAGCCAAGACTGCAAATGAATCGATTGCAAAGCTGTTACGGAACATAAGAATTAATTACGAATGGATTACGATAGAGCCATGAAATTTCAATTTGGGGACCCTTCCATGGAAGTTTTTGACAAACAAAATATTCTCGCCGATTCGACGAACTTCGCGAAATGTCCGAATGTTTTGGAATCAAATAAGACTTATTTAAGAATTTCAAGAAATGACTGAGATTTATCCTATTTCCTATTGTGGGTGATTCTGGATATCCGTTGTCGTAGAAAAATGCGGGCATAAGGATGAGTTACAAAATACCAATTGCCAGCTTGATTAGATTAGAAGCTAGTGTTTATCAAAGCCTAAACTAACTATGCCTTGGTCTTAAGAAGCTGATCACCCTCCTACCTAGAGTTCCTTGCGGCCAGCCAAGTTCCTTAGTCACACCTTGTCTCACCTCTCCGCATCAATGATATTCACCTACAGGTAAGTGTTTCTCATTGTCTCTCCTCTCCACATTAATGACATTCACCTACAGGTAAGTGTTTCTCATTGTCTCACCTCTCTGCGTTTATAATATTAAACTACAGGTGAGTGTTTCTCTTGTGATGTCCACAAAATGTTATGGTATAGTGTGAAATGTTTCAAAATTCATTTGACTGGCAGTTTGCATTTTCCTCGTATAATGAAAATATTCTCTATTATTTTTACTCATACGCATACAATTATTTTGAACAAAGTGATATTCAACATTTTTACTAAGTTCTTTGTTCATTTTACTAGGAAACCAGACTATATACTCTTTTTTCAAAATTGGAAAGAAACAATTGATGACCGTATTTGGTTGGTTTGACATCAATGATATAATATATACCCTGTGGTAATTCTCGCCATCTGATTGCTTGTAATTCTCCATTATTGTATTCTTATGTAAGCATTCGTCTAAATATGATCCAACAATAGGACGCAATCTATTTTTAATCTCCAACCAGTTCTTTGGTTTTCGCGCGGAATAATTGACGTGCTTGTTGTCTCCCCTGTTCTATCAACTTTTTTCTCGTCTTCGCTAATACCACTGGTCTTATGAGAATTTGATCGAATCTCCTGCTTCTTTACGTTGTATTTGGGGAGTTCTGACAGCACTAAACGAAACTCCTCCTCGGATATCTTACAATCAGCCAGTGCTGTTGAAATATGATACTCAAGGCTATTCATCTTTGCTTTGGCGAGTATCCAAATATTATCATGTTATAATGCTTTCTTTTGCAAGTTACGAGAAATATATTTTATCGCTATTCCGGGCAGTCTACTTCCATGCCAAGTACGATAGGCATGGCGATTATAGTTGATAATAAACCAACACCCGCTACACTGAGTCCCATGTCAGCTGTTACAAGCGCAGTGTCAACTCCGTCGAGAGCATTGATAGCTCTGCGATACCTTTTATACGATCCAAGTCGCAACTCCCTCTCCGTCTCTATTTGATGTTTTATGTCGCTTATTTGATGTTATCGAAATCCATCAATGGTATCCATCTTTTCAGATGCTTCATCGAACACCTGATATAAACCCATAATTTATATTATTATGTTGTATAATAGTCTTTAATTGGTCTTGTTTCAATGTTTTGAGAGTATACCTCAACCTTATTAAATGTATATTATACGGCATAGATATCTTAGTAAGAGAAATGCTATCACTTTATTAATTTGGACCCCCTCAAGTGTTGCAACGGGTGATACTCCCATATAAATAATACTGCAACGTTGACGCTCGTGTTTCTTAAGCCATTTAATTGATAGACCTGGTAATGTTTCGAAAGCATCTTCCAGTGCATCTCCAAACAAGACTTCAATAATAATTGTAGAAAGAGCAGGTAAAGCATTTCAAGTTATCTTCAATATCATTGAATTCAGTAACATAATTTAAACTAACATTTTTTTACTGCCGGATGACTCAATAACATATGATCTGGGTTTTCTGGCAGGGGAGCAACTAACACTTTTTTTGTTTTGAGGGGATATAAGCCCCGAGTATGATCCCACTATATATTATCTTAGTTAATTGATGTCCCTTACCCATCATCACATATGGTGGGGTAATGACGATATTCAGTAGCCACTCGATTTTTGCTTCGACCATAGTCAATTAATTACAATCATTGCGAGTAAGATTGTACGAAGTGTTTTTATTGAGTCTATAACGTCCACATCACTTAAATCTCCCAGATTACCTGTGAATGTATCTTCTTTCCGCTTGTATACATTATCTTGTAAGTGTAAAGCGCATAGCTTGCCATCTGTACCAGGTTTACCGAATCCTTCTGTGTCTCCAAGATCAGAAAGTGCAATTG